AGTACCTGTTATAAACTAAATGTGTATGTTTAGTTCTTTATTATGGGGTGCACCTAGATGGTTTTCGACAGTACAAAGATGCTTGATCTACGCTCTTGTACTTCATCAAACACAATAGCAGCCTTTCAAAGCCTAATCCATATCCACCGTGCGGACTTGGACCATACTTTGACATATCCAAATACCAATAATATGGCTTTGGATCGATTCCTTCTCGTTTGAATCCTTCCATAAGTTCCTCATAAACTGTGTGCCTCATTGAACCACCCACAATCTCGCCCATTCCGGGAAACAGGAGATCACATGCTTCTGTTTCTGTTCCATTCTTTGCGACATAGAATGGTTTGTGATCTACTGGAAATGAAGTCAAAAATAGTGGTTGATTGTTTGCATAATGCTTAATCAAATACTTCTCAGATGCATCTGCAATGTCATCTCCCATCTTGTATTCAGTTCCATCTGTCTTCATATGCTTCTTACTGTATAGAAATTCAATGGCTTCCTTGTAAGAAATCCGTTTGAATTTCTCATCACTCAGCACAACTGGTTCGAAACCAGGATAAACCTTTTTTATTTTCTCAAGCATGGATTTGTAAAAGACTGCTGATGCTTTTCTAACCAATGCTTCGATTTGATCCATAAGGGTACTAAACGTGATGTCTACCAATTCTGCCTCGACGTGTGTGAACTCACTCAGGTGTCTAGCAGTATTGCTTTTCTCTGCTCTGTAACTTGGCATTATGCAGAATGCCTTTCCACATACAGGCGCAGCTGTCTCAAGATAGAGCTGGCTTGTTTGCGTCAAATATGCATTGCTGCCATAGTAATCAAGCTTGAAAAGTGTGGCACCACCCTCTACCTGCGTCTGTACCAGTGTTGGTGGTGTAATTTCAGTATAGTTTTCACTCCAATAAAACATCCTTAGTGATTTTAGCAATTCGCTCTGTGCCTGTAAAAACAGGCTTCTTTCTTTCAACCTTAGTCCCAGATGAGCAAAATCAAGTAGCTTGTCCTTCTCACTATCCTTATTGAGAGGGAAAGATGGTGCCTGATGTCCTCCATATACTGAATATGCATCTACAGTTATTTCGAATTCAAAAGAATCTTTCCCTTGGTTCTTTGAAACTGTTCCAAAGACCATCACTGTTGTTTGAAGGCTAAAGGTTACGCTCTTCTTAATGAAGCATTTGACTGTTTCAAATTGAGATGTTAACTCAAAGAAAGAGTTACTCTTACCGCTTCTACTGCTTGTTACCCAACCAAATACAGCCACCTTCTTATCAATATGAGAAGAGCACACTTCATGCAATCTGAATTTGGTGTACGCATCTTGTTTGACCTCATTGACGTTGAAGTCTTCTATTTTAATCCTTTCAAGACACGCCTTAACTTTCTCAGTTCGTGGATCCTTTGTTGCCATTGTATAGGGTAAATTTTGCAGGTTTTTAACACATATTAAATAAAACAGCATATTTGTGTTTAGTTGTGCCTAGTACTTGTTGCAGGGACAGCATATAATTCGTTTAAAAGTGTCGAACAAACAATGATTTGATGATTGATCAAACAAATAATAAATACAAATATAAGGGTTCAGATGAATCCATCGTCAAGCAAACACCTACAACTAAGAAGAGTAGTGGACATAAGGTGGCAGTGAACTCGATTAATACGAAAGTCCTCCAGGGAAACGATAACAATACTATGTTAAATGGATTAATGTGTTGATATTGATGAGTTTTTATCCATTGATTTCGTTTAAGCTGAAATTTTATTTTGCTGCATTATAAAATATGCAGTAGGTCGATAACCATTGTAAAGCATCATCTGCTTGTTCATACTTCCAAATTAAGTGCCATTGGCTTATTTATTGCGTAAGATGGAAAGTTGATTTATGTTCGATCTTAGTGGAAAACTTAGTCATGTTGCGGTTTGTAACAGTTGTTATCTGATGCCTCGGTGTCTTCAACGGGTTTATCAGTCTTCTTAGGTGTTTTCATTTACTGATCGTGGGGTTCAAAATCCCTCTCTATCTATAACTCTAATTGTTTACTTGTTTCTTAATAAACAATCATTCAGCTTATTATATGGTATACTGCAGCGGTTTCACTTTTAGGCGTAGCACGAATGGCTATCGCCACATTAACAACTTCAAATGATACATTTTCCTGTACTAATTGAGATATTCAGGGCAAAAATAGTTAAAGAAATAACGACCTGAATATTTGAAGTTGTGATCTATTGTGTGTTTGTTGGTATAAAATGTATCACGATAGCTGTTTTCTCATTAAACAATCACGTGAGAAGTTTCTAACAAAATGTGTATTCTAGTTTATTGGTATTTGTGCATTAGAAAAAAAGCAGGTTTTAATACACGCAATACTAGCACAAGAACATAGAGATTCAATTGTATAGTAGTCTTTTAGGTATGCGATCAACGCATTTACATTATCTGGTTTTGTATCTTGTTTTCTCCATTTCGTGTCAACACCAGCACACAAGACGCCTTATTTCGCCTATGAATGGTAACACGGACTGGTTTCGTACCACATTTCTTAATCGCCTTTGTGATGTAATATCTGATCTTCTTTCTTGTTCTTTCTGACATACCTTTCTTAGAAAGAGTCACTGGCTCATTTGACATATCGGGATTCACCTTGTCATCGACTTTGCCCAGGTCTCTCACCTGAATGTATTTCGTAAGTTCAGATATCGTTTCATGTGCTTTCACGTACTTCAATTTGTTTCTCTCTGATTCTGCAGTACACTTCTTCAGTAACTCATTCTTTTCATTAACTTCAACTTTTAGCTTTTTCAATGCAACAAGTAACGTTCTGAGATTGTTTTTAGCTTCTTCAAGGTCTTGTTTGGTGCTCTCAATCTGTACTCTGCTCTCCATGAGCTCATCGTAGAGTGCACCATTGCTTTCATTAAAGACGTGCTTTGCTGCCTGAAGCTTAGGCTTAGTCTTCGTAATCTGATCAATATTCTTAACCTGTTTTACCCGAGCAGTTTGATCTACGATCTCAGTTAGCTCTGGTTCCTTCTGCTGTTCTTCTTGAGTAATTTCCTTAGTAATCTGGGCTATCATTGAACCCTGATTCATCTCTTCATTTGCTGACACGTCACCTGGCTTACATTTCTTACCATTGCCAAGTGACGCACAATACTTGTTCTCCTCGTGTATGCCTTCATCTGACGGTTCCTTCACGAACAACACGGTCTCGTCAATCAAATTGGCCCGTGTCTCGGTCTCCTTGTGTTTATTCGGCGGCAGTTCCTTAACCATGGGTTATTTATTTTGAATTTATTTTAAGCAATAGTAAATAAACACTGTGCATAAAATAACATAACCCTAATTTAGAAGAATAAGTAAGAACAATAAAAATAGAAGATATGTATGTCATTGAAAAGAATATGGCTGTGGAAACTATTGATATGTCGGAGTATACTACATTCAATTTAATAACAGCATAACATTGTTGGAATTTGAGAAAACCGTTATGGTGACATTCACTATTGTAGGCAATGCTTGGTTAAATATATGTAAAACAAGCGTATACTAGAAAAAGGAAATCCTATGAATGTCGTGAAGATTATGTCTGTTCCAATTTTAAATAACCATACTAGAGCTCATGCTAATAATATTAATTTACCATACTATGTTTCTTTTCTAAATAAATATCTTGACGATTTTAAAACATTTTATTATTACAAAAACAACACATTTCACTATATAATTGCTCATTTTTCATGCCATGAATGAATAAAAACATTTAGAGAACTAGGACCAGGTTCTTTTATTTTTACTAAGAAAATATCATGGAAAAAGGGATCTTAAAATGAAATGGTGAAAAAGAGAGTTGGTTCAGAGAACCAAATATATCAAGATCTGGAAAGGTTTTTAGGTTTGCCGATTTCACACGATATTAATAAACATCCATTTATCCTTAATTCTATATTGCATACCATATTATTATGCACAATAACATCAATTTTGTATTTAAATATTTATCAACAAACGAACAACAAAACCAAACGAACTATACATTTTGATAAATAAGCACAACAATATAAATGACACATTAAAAACACAATAATAACCATTGCCAAACATCCAATTATATATTCAATGTAATACCTACGTAATAGAGTAATGATAATAAAATAATTCAACCGTCTTTTAATTCATTTATAAGATATTGCTATAAATAAATGTTGAAAAATCCAATTAAATATATAAATAAGTTTGTACGAGTATAAAGAGAAATACATTACAACGCAAATAAATACTAAAACTAAAATATGTAAGAAAATACAATATATACTAACTTTAAACACCAAATTTATGGTCAAATGGATAACTAACTAAAATATTTGTATTTAAACCTTGATGATTTGATTTTACAAAATTTAAATATTTCAATTTACGTTTGTCCATTTTTAATGATATACACAATATGCACCTAATTTAATATATGTTATATATCACATAAAAGATGAGTAAAAGATGAACCCTTATAGTTAAAAAGATATTAAACAAAAATAATTGCAGAATACACATGTGCATTATAATAAAACTAGAAGATACAATATTACTAATATATTCCCGTACCAAGGTGAATCATAAAAAACATTTTAATTCCAGGTAAATGAAATATAGAAAAATGGTAATAAAAATATATGACCCAGAAAAAGTTCATTAATGAGCAAAATAAATTATTATATAGTAATTGAAACATCTAACAGCAATAAACAAAAAAATTATGTGTACAAATGCTAATATACTTTTATTTTTTAATACTATGTTGTTACGCATATATTACTTTCTATTTTACAACATTTGTTTGAAAAAAAACTGTTTTTCATTTTAGAATATTATAGCAAACATATATTATAATTTATTATCATTGTGATATTCATAAATTTTTACAAGAAGAAAAGTGCAACATGTTTAATACAATTAATAACCTCAAAGAAAAATAGTGAACAAGATCATAACTCTAATATTTAGCTATGAGAATCGATTCATATATATTTTCGAAGCTAGATATAACACTGTGATGCAAAAACTATCTATTCCAAATAAAAAGAAGTTTCTTTTCACCATAAAAACAAAACCATAACCTAAAAATATATCATCTACAAAAAATAACTATATTGATATTGAAATACAGACACTCTATTTGTTTTTTTTTTCACGCCATAGCAATAAGAATGGATAGCATACGATGGAATAATTCAATGTTTAAAATCTAATCAGATACACAACACAATATTTACGTTATAATACGATTAAATAAATGCATAGAAGTAAATTATGTAATCTAAAGATTCAAAATAATATTATGTTATTTATACATCTGCATTGTTTGAAATAGAAATAGTTTTAAATGAATTATAACACATTTTTATTTAGCCTAGACGTTGACTTATAATATCAATATGAAAACATGCTTAAACCATAATTGTTTAAACATCTAAAACAATGTGTTGAATATCTAAAAACATAATTTTCTGTATTTACAATTTATATCATTGGTAAACAGTTATATATTGTTCTACAATGTATGCAAATAAAATTTCTGTAACTATACAATTTACTTGCCTTTTGCATTTAACAACGCCTTGCATCCAATTGTTCACTATACTTAAAAAAATAATGATATATGCGATATGTTGAATAAATAGCCGCTTAATGTATACTAGCAAAATTGATTCATAAAGTTTTAGATTACGTATACTATGCCTATATTTGTATTATCATTCGCTAAATTTATAATTATTTATACTTAATCAACTTATAAAAGCAAAGAGTATGTTTGTAAATTATTTGTTATTTATATACGTCATAAAGCTTTAAAATTTTACAGTATAAACATTATTGTGGTGCAAATCTAGATATAGTATTGGTTTTTACACAAAGCATCCAATGGTGCATGGTGTTAAATAAAAATCAATTTTCTTTATTAAACAAACATGATAGATTTCAATTTATTTGCGACTAATAGATAAATTATTCTATTCTACTATATGTATTCAAGCATTTTATATAAAAAATCTTATATCATTAAATACATTTATCAAACTAAAAACCATTTCATGATTATAATGTAAATATATAATTCAAGCAATGAAATTTCGTTGTATTATATGGTATTTTCAATAGATATGAAAAAGGAAGTTATTTATTACATCTGTTTTTAATACTATGTAAATACTGCTAAAATAATTTACAGATACACTACCTTCTACAGTTTAAATTATATTGGCCTTTATGCGTTGAAAACATTGCTTTGTTAAAAAACTAATAATATATAAAAACACATTATGCTGAACGTGTATTTTGATTATCCCACTAGTGGAGTTTGATCCAGTTGAAATCCAAATATATAATTCCCTGTATTCTGTCAAAAGATCACAAATAATAAAACTGTATTTTCCAGGTACTTCTATCAAAATAGTTGTTTCTAGAATATTGTGAATCCCATTTCCCATGTTGCAATTTAATATCCCGGAAATCCACAATAAAGGGGAAAGATCGCATGCGATCTTGTTTAAGAAACATAATTTAATTAACACCAAAGGTGAACGTATACAATATATTGACATCATTAAAATACATTTTTATCTTGTATATATTTTCAAAATTATTTATTGTAATCAACCGAAAAATGTTCCGCAAAATGATAGATTTACAATTATAATAAAAAACAAAATTTCCAGAACTCACCTATCTAAGATAGAAAAATCAATAATATATGAGTGCTTGAAAGAAAAACGTTTATATAATTTAATTTATAGAAGATAAAACTGCAAGATTGTTTTGGGACATAGATAGCAAGAAGATCAGTGTGTGGAAAATTGTAGAAGAATATGCAATGTACATAGAGATAGAGACTGGTTATCAACATTAAAATATTTTATGAATACAAACTAATCTAATACACCATACATGAAACTGTGTTTTGNTTCCAGAACTCACCTATCTAAGATAGAAAAATCAATAATATATGAGTGCTTGAAAGAAAAACGTTTATATAATTTAATTTATAGAAGATAAAACTGCAAGATTGTTTTGGGACATAGATAGCAAGAAGATCAGTGTGTGGAAAATTGTAGAAGAATATGCAATGTACATAGAGATAGAGACTGGTTATCAACATTAAAATATTTTATGAATACAAACTAATCTAATACACCATACATGAAACTGTGTTTTGTGCACCATGGTCGAAGCATTTTTAAGCAACTCAAAAAACGAACATGTAACATTTATACGAAATAATTTAGACAAATATAGTAGAGTTTTTCATACAATCTTTTAAGCAATATTTTGTCACTTTCTCTTCACACTGCGGATACATAAAATATGTTTTATTCTTATTGAAGGTTTTATACGTAAACAAACAGCTGGTAGAATACTTGTATACTTTTTGATTACAAAATACTGCACTATAGTACAACAAAGATTTTAAAAAACTAAAGTAATTTTTTGCATAAATATTCAAATTTCACAAATCACTATTGTATAAAATAAATCTCTGATTAAATACATTTTTGTTCATTCTAATTGTAACTTTTAGTGTTAATAGGAATTTAACAATAGTTTTCTCCTCTACATTTTCGTTATTCAACATTATCATTCAGTTACATATTTTGTTTTTAAGAAGTAAATATAATATTATTCATGTATGTTATTGCACAATTATCTTATTTGTCTTTCTATATTAATTTAAATGTTGTTAAATGCTATGTATTTGGTTGAATTTAGGGATAATTTAGGATGTATTTTTTGCAAAGTATCATAAAAGAAAATTTTCATAATTATTACAGAAATACTTATTCTAGTTGTGAAGTAAAAAAGATATTAATAATATATGAAAGTATATTCTGAGAATTTGATTTGCATGATATATGTTATTTGAAATAAAATGTTGTATTATACTCGTATTGCTTTATATATTTTATATTCACTTTTTAATGTTATAACAATTTGCTTGTATTTAAAAGAGGTAAATGAAACTTGCGTGATATAATCAGAGATTATAGAGATGTTTATATCTATTATGTACCGAATATTTTGAAAATATATATTACATTTCTGTTAATGGCTATTATATCTTTGCTTTTTCCACGTAAATTGATGAATACATAATACTTCATTTTACTGAATGCAGGTGTTTATTCTGGTATATTCAAGCGACTATTATTTTATTATTATTAATTATTTTATATTAAAAATATTAATACATTTGAAGCATTTTCAATTTTGTACATTCTTGTTTTTAAGGGAGGCTTAAAAACCCAAGGTATACCTTTAAAGAACTATGCAGTTGTCTTTAGTTTCCACCAGCCATGCACTTTTGTGATGTGACCTACAAATTAACTAAAATATTTTATTTTAAAAATGTATATAACACAATATATATTTAAATACTTAAAATTTATGTATAATTGGCTAAATTAAGCTAAACGTGTTTAGTTCGAAATTAATATTTACCAATTTTTTTCATAACCACTCTAAATCATAACATAAAATGTCTATATACCATTAAAAATATTATGATTTTCCTGATATTTATAAAATTAACTATAAAATTTTCTAAAATATTAACATTAAAAAATTATGGACGAGGTTGATAAATAAAACCATTTGTAAAGTATTTTATTAAAAACGGTCAAAAATATAGAATGTACTATTCATTAAATAATAGTTTCCTATTTATCATCTCTTTTTAATAATGTTTAGTTATTCTATTAATTTTAAATGTTCATTATTTGAACCTATTTGAATTCAATTGTGATAAATAAGCATTTACTATATATCGCTTTATGTGATGATTTTCAAATATAAGAATTAATTTATACACTACAAACGATAAAAACATAGGCGATATGTGTAGCCATGAATACCAAAAGCAGGTTCTATATGTTTTGTAGATCAAATTCAAGATTGGCCTTTATTCTACTGCATCAAGGTAGCATAATTGCATACTTTAAATCATTAAGCAAAAAGATGTTAAATTTCCAATTGATATTATTGTAATTAAATGTTTGATTGATGTTTAAACAAGTTTGTAATAGATTCAAAACATTGTTAATTTTAATTAACACTTTCTTATTATGTACTTAAAAATTGTAGCTATCACTGAAAGTACTAACAAACTAACAACAACCAATATTCCAATTTCGGTCATACCGAAATGAGCATTTTCTACTGTAGTCGCATTTGTTTGAAGTTCAATTTCTTTTGCTTGTTTTGCTATTCGCATATAATTCCTGTGTTCTTCGCGTAATCCTGGTGGAACATCCTGTAAATCAGTTAATTTTATCATAGGGTCTTACTCTCAAAATTTTTTTACAGAAATACGGTTAAAATATGTGTCTCGTTTATATTAATCAGATGACATTCTGCACTTAATTAATTACTCTTCAAACTTATTAATTTTTTGATTCTGCTTTGTTTATGATTTTTACACCCATATATTCTTCAGGATCAATATGTATACTTGTTATTTTTCTATGTTTTGATCGAATACTTTGTTTATTTAACATTTATGGTTTTCTATATATGTATATCAAAATAGATAGTTGTACAGTACAACTTAAGCATTCAAAAAAATTGTATCTGATTTTACTTCTCACTAACTATACACTGTATATTTTAATAACCCGTGATTGTGAATAAGGTATAATTTTTTTTATTTTCCTGTCAACTTTATTTTACCTCTCAATTTATTTATTTGTTTGTTTTTACCCCATGGTACGTGCAAAAAAATTATCTAGAAAGAGCAACACGTCTGAAACAGTAAGTGTCAAACAGCCAGGGAATAAGAAAAAAGGAATTAAAAATGTTGGAACCTATAACAGTAACACACCAAGCAAGACGATTTCGGGATCAGGCAAAACAAAATTCAAGCCATTTACAAAGCCTAAGATTTCTCAAGGAAAGGTAGAAGTGAAAAAGAAATCCAAGCAGTCTAAGCAGATATTCAAAGAAATTAAGTATTATCAGAATAACATAGGCTTCCTAGTGACACATGCATCAATGGTGAGATTGGTTAGAGAATTAACTAATCAAGATGTTAACTTGCCATATAAATTCACTAGAACAGCATTTGAAGTCATTCAAGAAGCAACAGAAAATCACATAGTGAAAATATTGGAGTACGCTAACCTAGTTGCAAGACATGCAAAAAGAGTCACCCTGTACGCATCAGACATCCAGCTTGTTCTACGAATTAAAAGTGGTTTATAACACCCATATTAAATAAATCATTGGAATTATTTTATTGTTTAAATAATTGCTCAATTGCCTTCCTGTTCTGTATTGTCTTTTTCCTTATAAATTCGTGATTTAGCAGTGTTTTTACATTTGGCCTATCATCAAAGTTCTTTTGTAGGCACAGCCATATAAAGTGTTTCATTTCCAGGCTATACTTGTTGTTGAATTTCACATATTTGTTGAATTCGTAGTTCTCATCGACATTTTCGAAACTATCTTTCATGTCCCTGTAATTCTCAACGGTATTGTGGTTCAATAATGTTCTTCCTATAGCCCATATATCACTTGCGTATCCATAGATACCTTTCACTCTTCCTTCATAATCCGTATATCCAGGTGTTCCTCGTCCTGCAGTGTATTTTTCACTTGTACCACTTTCTATGCATCTTGCATTCCCATAATCTATTATTTTGTAGGTGTAATCACCTTTTCCATTCTTAACTGCGACTGTATTGCATAGTTTGAAATCCAAATGCGCCCATTTGTTGTCATGAAGCACTTTCATTCCAAGTAGAACTTGCGTAGCATATTCTCTTATTTCATTTTCATGCTTCCAAATCATATTCCACGGGTCTACCTCACAATATCGCATTAATATCATTATAACAGTCGAATGGAGCAATTTTCTTGTTTCCACGTCGTATATTTCAATAAGATTTTCGTGTTCTGTGTTACCAAATAACCTGGAACACAACACTTCTTTCTTCTCATCAAAATTATAATTTGCCTTTACAACGTATTTTATTACTGTCTTCATCCCGTTGGAATCAAACAATAATAAAACTGATTTTCTATTGCTTGCTAGGTATGAAACGGGCAGATTATTGATATTGTAGGCATCTAGGTCTTTTTGCTTTTCTACATCGAAAAAGGCTAGTTTCTTAGATATAAAATCGTATACCTCTTTCAACTTCACCGTATCAACATTATTTGGTATCTGGAGTGGTTTAAATGGTAACAATATTGTTGCTGATTTTTTTGTGATTGATATCCTTTTTTTCTTCTTCTTAAAATATATTATCAATACGATGCTGCCTAATAACAAAACACCAACCAATATTAACAACACCACCCTGTATTTCTTGAGATACTCCTTGATTCGACTATTTTGTGGCTCTGCTACTGTAATGGTATTTTCCTTATTCATAAAGGGTGTCCCCCTACAAATTATTATGTTGAATCACATTTCCAGAAATTTTCTTATTGTTGTATAATTATGTTCTGCTACATGTATTCTACCATTCATCTCATTAATCTCATACAGATATTGAATATATGAAGTGGGATCAACGTTCTCCTTTACAAGAGCACCATCCTTAATTCTAAGGAGTATTCTTTTCTCAATCAATTCTTCTAGAAACGTGCACATAATCGTGCTACATGTCTTTAGATTGTTCATTTCTTCTACAGAATTGATTCGTTCAACGTTTTCTAATGCTAAATCCATGGAATCAATTCCCGAGATATTCTTCAGGTGTTGCTCCAAATCAGCCTTGCTTATTGTATAATGACCACCTTTGCTTATTAGAACTGTCTTGTTTCCATTCTGAATCTTTTTCAATGCCAAGATAACTGTTTTGTTCTTTGTCCTGATGTATTCCTTAATGTTGAATTTTATGTCATTTAAGAGGCCATCCTTGTAGATTAAATCATCCAAATAGACTATAATTGCATCATCCACACTGTACTCCCTTAGGTAATTGCACTGACCAAGTATTGTTGGTAGTACAAGAAGGTGTTTCTGAGACATGAGGCTAAAATATTTCACCAATAAATGGAAATGAAACATTTATAAAGAGTAAAGCACCTAGATAACAGCAGTTTAATTCATTTCGTCTAGTTTCGTCTTAATCTCTTCTGCCACAATCTCTTTGATTCCTTCATTTGTATTGATTTCATATCCTTTAATGAATTTATGGTTCTTTTGTACCACATTGAGCAAGGCAGAGAGAGACGCATCCTTTCCACTATCTTTGAAGTTGTCGTAGATCTTGTCTGACTTGTATCCCACAGCACATTTCTCATATTCTGCAAAGTTTCCATCTGATTCAATTACGAATATCCTACCTTTTCCATTTTCAATGCCAAATAGCACTGTTTTGAGTCCAAGTGGCCTGTGGCTCATCTTCACGGTGAATTCTCGCTTGTATTTTGCTATTTTACCTGCCAAACCTCTTATTGTAATGTCCTGGGCTGTATTCATTTTGTGCATGTAGATTTCAGTAGCACACACCTTCTCTACCAAGTATGAGTCTGGCTTGATTCCACTAAACAAAATGTAGATGTCTTTGCCAATTGGAACAATCTTATTCTCAAATACTTCAAGGACAGATGTTTGTTTGTTTTCGTAGAACACATGAATCTTATCTCCTGTCACATTCAAACAGACTGTAGCACCCTGATTGGATGCGTGTTGAGCGTATTCGACCTGATAGAGTCTTCCATCCGGACTAAAAATGCCCATTTTGTTTTCAAAGTGCATCATGGGGTATTTTTACCTGTTTTTATAATTTCACCAGGAAATTACCAAAGACCCTCGTTATTGACATTTTATTATCCAATTTGCAACCATTTTAATCAATTTCTACTTCCTGAACAAAACAGTTTGTTTTCATCATGAAACTGTCTCATATGGCAGCAATTTTGTTTACGCCAAATGATAACTGTAACACCTGGCATTCTTCTGTTATTACAGATAATAGCCTGCATTGAGATGGGATACTTGCAGAGAGTTGATAAGGGAGATTACCTGGGAGAAGATCTGAAATTTACGCCCAAGGAAAACAAAGGACTGGTATTAAGAATTGTTAAGATGGTTCTGGATAAGAAGAATATTGAAGAGTTGGTGGATCTTGAATCATCTGAGTCCGAAATCATCAGCAAAGATGATATAGTTGGGTTTGTGACGAAGAAGGATAACTACCTCTCTGTAGCAGGTAGATCATTCAGGCTCTCAAAATACAAAAGACGTGGAAATGGAAGAATGTTCAATCTACCAAGCAATGCAATGGTTCATTTTAACGGCAATAAGACAGCATTTCAGATGATTGCAGCCAGAAAGCCAAATACGTTCATATTGGCCAATAAAGACCAATATGTTGTAGTTAAAAATCAAAAACTAAGTTTAACAGAGACCAAGAAGAAGGCACAGGTATTCAAAATGGCACGGGTGAAATCAAAGGATATAGAGAGTGAGGAATCAAGTGAAGAATCAGAAGAAGATAGGAAGAAAAAGAAGAAAAGGAAAAGAGATGAATCCACTGAAGAGGAAGAATCAGAAGAAGAGTCAGAAGAAGAAAGAGAGTCAACTGGAAAAAGAGGAAAAGACAAAAAGGATCCAAGAAAGAAGACACAGCTTCCAGAACCAACAGATAATTTAAACAGGCACGTTGATAATTTAAAGAAAACACACAACGAAATGGTAAACAAGATACAGGAAGGTTTGAAAAGCAGAGAGAAGAGTGAGAAGGTTCAGAAAGAACTCGACAAGGCAAAGGAGGAGCTAGCGGCATTGAAGAAGGAACTTGATGAAGCAAAGAAGAGCGATAAAGAGAAGGAGAAGGAACTTGAGAACCTGAAGAAAGAAGTAGAACGACTTGAGAAGAAAACAAAGGAAGCAGATGAAAAGAAGGATAAGGATAAGATGAAAGAAGGGTCAGATGAAAATGATAGCAGTGAACCTGAAAGAAAACATAAGAAGGGAAGAAAGCATAAAAAGCGTGTTTATGAGGCGTATAAAGATAAAGAAGGATCAAGTAACTCATCAAGTGAAACATCTGATGAGTGTGATGGAATGATGGATAGAAACTACGGATGTATTCAGTCTCCTCAATTGGGATATCAACAGCCACAGATGCCATATAATAGCCCAATTACAATGCCATATAGTCCACAATCCATTCAACCAGGCCAATTTGTACCAAATTCAGATTCTGTTGGAAAGGCAATTACGAACCTAACCAATCTGATGCATCATAATAATGGAGGCGGAAATGGATTCCAGCAACAGCAGCAACCCGATGTAGATTGTACGCATCCAATAACACTTGAAGATGAATGCTACAAGTCACGAAAGAAGGGCAGAAAGCATAAATCCAAGAGAAGAAACAAAACAGTGAATTGTCCTGGATATGGCATGCCAATACCACACAACAAAGAATGCATGCCATACAACAATAATCCAATGATGCAATACATGCAGCAGCCACATACACACTTTTAGAAGATAGCCAGGTTCCACCTGTTAATAAAACGCATCTAAAACAATAAAAACACTTAAAACGAATCATCTTATTTTGGCATGAATCATATATTCTGTTTCTATCTAGTTTATGCAGCATGTTTCTTGATTCAGGGNTGCTACAAGTCACGAAAGAAGGGCAGAAAGCATAAATCCAAGAGAAGAAACAAAACAGTGAATTGTCCTGGATATGGCATGCCAATACCACACAACAAAGAATGCATGCCATACAACAATAATCCAATGATGCAATACATGCAGCAGCCACATACACACTTTTAGAAGATAGCCAGGTTCCACCTGTTAATAAAACGCATCTAAAACAATAAAAACACTTAAAACGAATCATCTTATTTTGGCATGAATCATATATTCTGTTTCTATCTAGTTTATGCAGCATGTTTCTTGATTCAGGGGGCAATAGGTATTAAGACTGCATCTGATCGACTATTGAGTAGTCGTAGAATACTATCTGCTCTCTTTTCAAACAGCCTGATGATGAAATCAAACAGAAGTTATGGATGGTTTGGTTCAAGCACATCTAAGGAATCTGATTCAGAAGATAAGAAGAAGAAAAAGAAACGGTCTGGATTTGGTAGGAAAAAGAAATCAGAAGAGGATGAAAGTACAGATGATTCAGAGGACAAGAAAGACAAAAAGGACAAGAAAGGCGAGAAAAAGAATCCACTGGCAGGAATAGTCGATTTTGTGAAGCGTGAAAAGGATAAATCAAAAACAGGTGATGGAACTGATCCATCCACAGTTTACAATAAATTGGATGAAATGGCCAAAGAGGCAGAGAAGGAGTTCAACGACAACAAGGAAGAAGGGAAATCTCCTCAAAAAGAGGAATCATCAGAAAATAAATCAGATAGTGAATCAAAACCAGAAGAGAAATCAGACAGCAAAGAAGAAGTAGTGGAAGAAGCAAAAGAAGTAGAAGAACCAGAAGAAGTAAAAGAAGACAGCACATTGAGAAACTCTCAATCATCAGAAACCACTGATCCATCAGCTGATTCAGATAGCACCCCAACAAGAAAGAGGCGTAGAGAAAGCAGCAGTTCCAGTAGTAACCTGAATGATGAAATAGCAGCACTAAATCACCAGGTGAAAACACAGAAGAAACTGCTTAAGAAAAACAAGAAACTGATCAAGAAAACAGAACATGCAGCAAAAAAGAGAGGAAAACAAAACAGGAGACATAAAAAGAAGCACACAAGAAGAAGAATCAGATCAAACAAACACAAAAGTAGTAATCGACGAAATCACAAGGCAGAGCCAATGGGTGCTTTCAGTTTCAGTTCCACAACGAGTTCATCTGCACGTGAATTGCTTAGACACGATCCATTGAGTGATTTCAAAATGAAAAAGAGGAAGAAGGCTAGCAATCGCACGAGGAACAAAGAAAGCACATCGTCGAGTTCGATGCTAAGAAAATCAGGTAAATATCACAAGGAGTATAGGAGACATCATAGTTCATCAACAACAAGTAGCTGTGTTGATAATACGATTGAAACACTTTTCCCTAAAGAAAGTCGTCCATTGCCAAAGAGAGATGACGTCTACTTCCTTGATGAGAAAGGTGGAATGAAGAAATCGTATGGACCATTCAAAGATGATGAAAGTAGTCCATTTTACTATCCAGGATTACACCAATTAGATGGTAAAATAGGAAAGAGAGTGTTATCAGACCAGGAATACAGGATTCATCCATCATTCATGTCCAAATTAGCAGATGGAGGATTCTATGAACGTAGGGTGATAAAACCAAAAGACGAGAAAGGAGCAGATGTCGTAGAAGAGCGATTTGGATACTTTCCAAAAAATAAGGTGGGTGGTGGAAACAGGCGTAGGAAGAATGTCAAGACCAAACATGGTGTGTTTCTACCACCATTGGCTCTAACCAATAATCCATATACGCCTGGGACTGAAGCCCATTTGAACTACCATTTTGAGAAGGAGAAAGAGAAATATTTATGTAGGGAGGATGCAATAGAAAACGAACAGGAGCAGGGTCTTGGCATTTTGGATGAGCATTTTGAGAATGCAACAGACATGTTGGTGGATAAGGGACGAAGAGGAAAGCTGTCTGGGGCAGATAAGCACCTGAATGACGTATCAAATGCAATAACAAATTCAAAGAATAAGGCAGAGACAGATGGTGTGGTAAAGGACAAAATATTCTCACGTGTCAGTGGAATGATGCCACCAGGACCACCTGCAGCAATGGTAAATGGATAACTAACTACTACAATGGTAAATGGATAAATATTGGTATTTTTATCAGGTAATATCAAACAGGCCAATGTTAACCCATGAAACAAAAATTTTCAGTATTGGACGTAGCAGCCTGTGTTAATGAACTCAAAAGAATTCTAGTTGGAAAATACATGGCAAACTTCTATTCTAAGAAGCAGAAGGTGTATTACATACGATTTGGAAGCAAGGATGTTCTAGCAGTGGAACCAGGATTTAGGATGCATCTAACAACACTATACGAGAGTGAAATAAACCACTTTGCAAAGAAGCTGAGGGAACACATCAGAAACTACAGAGTTATTGACATATTTCAGTATGGATTTGATAGAATCATAGTATTTGATCTATTGAAATACAAATTGGTCTTTGAATTCTACAGCCTTGGTAACATCATATTGATAGACAATGAGAACACCATTGTAGATTTACAGAGACCAATTGAGCAGTTGAACTATGCAAAGGGAAAGAAGTATTTCTGGAATAAGATTGAATTGGGATTCAGCAAGGAGTGTTTTGAGACAACAATTGATGATTTCGTAGAGAAGGCGCCAATTGAGAACGGGTTTGGAGCACAGGCTATTGACAGATTCATGAAGAAGAACAAAACAACATTTGAAGAGATCAAGGCATGTGCAGAAAAACAGAAAGAATTAACAGAATTCATCAGGGAGGAAATTGAAAAACTATCTTGGAATGGACAAGTTGTCTTCAAGAAGAATAAACCAGATGACTTTGGACCATACAGCATCATAGAAGATGTAACAGCATTTGACAGAGACGAGACTAACTGTGTCATATCAGAGAAAACACCTTTTAAACTAATTGGCATCGAAAGAGTAAAATGCTATTTGGAATCAAAGAAGACAAATGCACTCTCATTTGGATCATTCAATGAGACTGCATTTGTCTATTACGAACTGGAATCATTCATAAAGGCATCTAAAATAAGCAAAGTGCCTAAGCATGAGAAAATTCAAAGAGCACAAACAAAATACATTGGTGAACTACAGACACAAGAAGAGACCATTAAGACAGTTGTGAATATGATTGAAGAAAACAGGGAGTTCTTTGCCAAGATTCTTAGGATATTTGCATCTGTCTACGAGAATAGGATGTCATGGGAGGCATTTGATCATTTTCATAAGAATGAGAAAAAGAAAGGCAACAAGAGTGCTGAAGCAATAAAGAGCTACGATTTGGGGAAGAAGAGTGCAATTGTGGAGTGTGAAGGACATGTGGTTGAATTGGACCTGAATCTGAGTCTGAGTCAAAACATCCAGAAAATATACAAGAAAAAGAAGAAGGTGAATGAGAAGGAGATTAAGACGAAAATAGCAATGCTCGCTGTTTCAGAGAAAATGAAGCCAAAAAGAGAGGCCGTGAAAACACAGGAGCGAGTTCAGTACTGGTTTGAGAAATTCAACTATTTTATATCAGAAAACAACACCTTATTAATTGGAGGAAGAAATGCCCAGCAAAATGAGACAGTTGTATCAAAATACATGGATCCAGGTGATCTATATTTCCACTGTGACGTCAAAGGAGCCAGTTCTGTGGTTTGTAAGGGAACCACTGATCAGAATATCACTGATTCGACCTATATGGCATTGGTCTACTCTAAGTCGTGGGATGAGCAGGTGATGAAAGACGTCTTCTACGTGAATCCGGAACAGGTGTCCAAATCAGCCCCATCAGGCGAATTCATTCCAAAGGGGTCCTTTATGATATCAGGGAAAAAGACGTTTGCTCATCCTCACAGATTGGAGTATGGGATTGGAATTGTATTCAAACTAAGAAACGAGAAGGAGCTGCTTGGATTTACAGATGACCCCTGTGATCATGAAATTGATCACGCAATGCCAATTGCTGGGTCCTGGACCACCCTTAGAAAATACAGATATTCGGCCAGGCTGGTTCCAGGCGCAGAGAGAAAGCAGAAGATTGCGCAGTCTCTGACACAGACATTCGACAAAGAGAGCATTGAGACGCCTCACAACAAGGCAATCAGGGCAATTGGCCTCCAGGAGATCATCAACGTGCTTCCTGGCAAATGCAGAATAGCCAAAAAGTAGCCTCTAAAAATAGTAGTGCTCCAATGACATGAAATTGGTCTCTTCTGCTTTCAGGGGGTCATTTTTCATAGGCCCAGCTCGTTTCTCCCTGGCTGCCCTCTTTATCACAGGACTCTTCACAATTCTGCTTGCTTCCACCTTCTCATTGGATGAATCACGAGCTGCCCTCATCTTCTGACTCAGCTCCCTCAGTTTGTGAAGCAGCTCCAAATTGGCACCTGAACAGTGGACTCCATGCTCGTCCATCGCATTCTTCAGGTGCCAAATTGTCTCCTCATCCAGTCCAGTCCCCTCAGAATAATCCATCTGACTCTCCTTCTTCCACAACAAACTTGTTGCGCCTGTCTCTCTTTGTTTGTTTAGTGTTCCCTGCACATAATTGTAGCTCGAATACTTTGATGGATGCTCTGCCCTGAAGAAGTTTGTTTTGGTGCTGCTTCGGTTGTAGAGCAGTGGCCCATTTCTCCTCTTCTTTCTGTTGAACCACGAATGCAGCGTGAAGATCTCGAAGTTGTTTGGGCCTGAATGGAAGACTGAGTTTATGTAGTCTGAATCCCTGTTAGGATTCTGTGTTCTATCTGAATCGTAGAAGATCTTCTCGTTCATGGTTTCTCTACTCCTCATTGTTTGTAGCACATGGTTTGTATTTGTTGAAACTGTTTCAATTTATTTTTTCCAATAGTTCAGCACTGATATTGATCAGCCAATCTGTGCCAATTCACCTCCAATTCAAACCACCACAATTCTATTGAAATACTTTGAGTCATCCTTGTTCTGTATGCAAATGATTGCTGTTTTGTGGCTGTTGACCAATTCTGCTAGATAGAATACCCTATCAATTTCAGAGAGGCTGCTTAGATCCAGCCCACAGAGAAGGAGACTTCCTTTCTTGAGAAGTGCTCGAATAATTCCAATTTTGGTTATTTCTGCACTTGAAAGCCTTGGATTGTGGCCATTGATTCTTGTACTAAAATTATCCATTGATCTGTCAAAGAGGGACCTCATGTTGTATTTATCAGCACTCGATGCTATTTCGTACTCACTGCATCCACATCCCAGTCTCAGGTTGTACATGAGTGACCCCGTAAAGAGTGGCACACTTCTTCTTAAAATTGTTACGTTTTTGCCCCTGGTTTTTATCGAATCCAAATCCAGGTCACTCAGCTCCTTCAAAATCACCCCAACTTTCTCACCACTTTTCACTCGAATCACCTTTTCCCCTACAACAAATTCAGCAAAACCCTCTTCCTCCTCTCTTTCTCTCGTTAAACCAGTGTATTCCTCCATAAATCCATTTTGCCTATAAGTCAGAACACTCTCAAGAATCTCCTGTAGTGCCTTATGTAACTGTTTGCATGCTGACGTAATTCGATACAGAAACATCGACAGTTCAAAGAGCCCATTTCTTGTTCCACTGCTTCCACACTCTATGAACAGAAAGAATAATATAATCAGCAACTCTCCCAATCCAAATGACAACTTGCATACTGCCTTGATAATCTTCTTTTTCTTCTCATACTCCCTCATCTCCGCCTTGATCTTTCTTGCGTCCTGTATCACCACTCTATTGGTATTATACTGCTGATACGTCTCAATGTGATTCATTGCACTTGCTGCTTGTCCATTCAGCCTACAATCCAATTCGTCTATCTTTTCCTTGTACTTCATGCGCGTACTATTAGTGGATAAATTCACCAATCCATAGAACACAATATATGGCCCCAATACCAGCATGGCGTACTTTAGTGGTATTCTAGAACAAATCAGCACCATTTCCAGCCCATACCTCATTAGATTCAGGTATACATTCGTGTGGAAGTTACGCGTGGCCAACGTGCTATTGGAAATGCGTTTTAGCAGTTTCAGTGGCTCCTCAGATCCCTCTACCTTGTCCTGCTTGACTATTTTCTTCATAAGCTCCTTCTTTTCTGTTACGGAAATTCTTAGTACACAATATTCACCAATAATTCTTCCTACTGTATACACCACTTCCTGTAGCACTGATAGCTGTATATACTCCGTAAACATGTTGTTTTCTATACAATTCATCTTCACCATTTCAGAAAGCACCCTTCTTGATCTGGCCATCACAAAGACAGATGTTACGACCATTGCAACTGCACAGACCAGTCCAATGTTGTAGATCAGACACGTCCTCGTCCAAACATGCCTGGACATGTGCCATACGCTCCTCAAGTTGCCCACTTTCTGCTCCATCTATTTTTATGGTAAATTTTTATTTTATATTTTCTGCTAAATTTTAATTATTCTGATTTTCTGAGCAGTTCCTCTGTTATGCTCACTGTCAAGTTCCTCTTGTACCTCTCGAAGTCATTCAGCTCCTCCTTCTTCTCCTCGTTGTAGAACCCAGCTGCCTCCAGCCCATCCACTTCATAGACCCTATCACATAGAACAATGTCATCAACTCGAATCACCTCATTGCTCCTGTCCTGCTTCTGTACCACAATGAACTTGTTGTCGATGATTCCAGTCACCACTGCCCTGTGGTCTCTCTGATCCAGCCTACGCATGGCCACCTCCCTGCCAATTTCTATGAATTTCATGGGCAAATTTTGCTAGAATTGTTTCAACCTCTCTTTATTCCTTTTACCCTCTCTTTTGACCATGCTTCTTGACCTACAAACCAAAATCAACAACATGCTCTACTTGTACTACACTGTCATTGGCGTAATACAACGAGACTGCCACACTGACACTGTTGATGAAACCATGCTATTCCTCTCTGATGAAATACACAAATTGAGAGACGAGATCCACGACTGCCTTGAATCAGCCCAATCAGCTGATACGCCCATCACTATCAGTGAAATAGTATCAGAGAAAGAGGATAAAATAGAAAGTGGTAGAATATTCATAGATGGGATACTATCAGTGTATTTATGATAGTATATTCATATCAGTNCCATGCTTCTTGACCTACAAACCAAAATCAACAACATGCTCTACTTGTACTACACTGTCATTGGCGTAATACAACGAGACTGCCACACTGACACTGTTGATGAAACCATGCTATTCCTCTCTGATGAAATACACAAATTGAGAGACGAGATCCACGACTGCCTTGAATCAGCCCAATCAGCTGATACGCCCATCACTATCAGTGAAATAGTATCAGAGAAAGAGGATAAAATAGAAAGTGGTAGAATATTCATAGATGGGATACTATCAGTGTATTTATGATAGTATATTCATATCAGTGTATTTATGATAGTAATATCAGTCTATCTACTACAGTCTATTCATATCAATCTATTTACTACAACCTATTTATGTCATTCCCTCTATAGGAATAATCCAGTTGTAATCAGAAATAGTGATACGACATAAAGTGTCAAGACTGATATGATCTCACGTCCAACCAGTGAGAGAACGTGGCAAACAAGCAGCTGCGCCAGAAAGCATGCGAAATTGCGACTCAACTTCATTGCACCAAAAATGAGTAGAAAGAGAATGCCCTTGTAGAAGAGTAGACCAAAGTTGGTTGGACTGAACCTGAGAAGGTGGATGCTGAAGAGGTTGACCATGAGAAAGAGGAGGGTGTGGACGATGGCGTATTTGGTGCAGATGTACGGCCTAAGGAAGAGGAGGCGACTGAAGAGGAGGACGTTGGTTGCGTACTCCACGACGAGGTTTGGGATGCGAGAGACCAAAATGGTGGCCAGGGCGACCTCGGTGCTGACGAAGTTGCAGTTTCTGCTTCTGCCCAAAAGGGCGTTCTTGAAGAAGTAGGCGACGTAGTGNAGAAAGAGAATGCCCTTGTAGAAGAGTAGACCAAAGTTGGTTGGACTGAACCTGAGAAGGTGGATGCTGAAGAGGTTGACCATGAGAAAGAGGAGGGTGTGGACGATGGCGTATTTGGTGCAGATGTACGGCCTAAGGAAGAGGAGGCGACTGAAGAGGAGGACGTTGGTTGCGTACTCCACGACGAGGTTTGGGATGCGAGAGACCAAAATGGTGGCCAGGGCGACCTCGGTGCTGACGAAGTTGCAGTTTCTGCTTCTGCCCAAAAGGGCGTTCTTGAAGAAGTAGGCGACGTAGTGGAACTGGGAGAGGAGGAGGTAGCGGAGGACGAAGAGCGTCAGGAAGCGGGAGGAGACGTAGCAGGAGAAGAAGTTGGTGAGGGTGACGAGCTCAGCGTGTCGCTCGAGCGAGTAGGCGCTGCTGCTGAGTTTGATGGAGTCGAGGCGGGCAGTGATCAGGGCCAGGTCGTCCGATGAGACGGTGACTGCTCCCTCTGGGAAGAAGAGTGTTCTCTCCCTGGTTGATATTTCTATTTCATGCGCATTATAGAATTGAGTATTTGACCAAATGAACGAGAGGGAGACTGTGATGAGCTCAGGGACGATGAGGGTGACCAGGTAGAGCAGCAGATTCAGCTTGCGAAGGAAGACGGTTTGGAGGAAGTCACAGAGGAAGGCGGAGTACTGGGAGACGAGGCCACTTCTCCATTTCGCACCTACGAAGGGTGGCTCAGTCTCCTCCTCCTCCTCTGCCTCCGTCTCAATCCAATGGAGAGCAATGGCCCGGTGACGGGAGACAGCCTGCTCCCTCGTCTCGTTCTTCAGTGGTCTTCGATGCAGTGCCGCTGCTACGACCCCAATTTCAGTCGATGCCCCGAAATTGGTTTCAGGCAGAATTCCCCTAAGAATTCTCGTGAAGTCTCCTACGGTGCCCTTGTGGATTATTCTACGATTAAGCATGAAATAGAATTTCGTGACTTCTTTGACCAGATCGCTGCTCATCTCGTCCACCTTCGTGGCAACAACCACAACGCGGTTGTTTGACTTCAGCCAGCACAGCATCCGCAGCACGGCCGCCCTCTCTTCCTCCTTCACGTACTCAAATGGCTCATCGTGGATCACAACTGGCTTCCCTAGGACGTACGCAATGTACAGGCTCAGCAGGTGCTTCTGGTACAGTCTCAGGTCTCTGCTTCTCTTGTTCAAGTCAGTCCCAAATATCCTATCACTTTCCATGGGATCAGGTGTCATTTTGTGACTCAGTCTTTCAGCCAGTCTGATATTCTCCTTAACAGTCAGCTCTTCCAGAAAGAGTCTGTTTATTTCGGTGATGAAGATGGCGCATCCACCCAGGTTGTGGCAGTAGCCGTAGCGGCGGTAGTTCGACTCAACGTTGTTGGTGACTGCCTCAAGCAGCAGTGTCTTTCCTGAGCATCTGTCTCCGACTATGCACAGGAGTTCACCAGTTTTGGCTGCTCCACTCACAGGAAAGAGAACCATCCTCGTTCCAAGGAAGTTGCGGACAGTCAGGTTGCTCCAGTAGATTCCACGATGCACGTGTGGGTTGTCGCTGCTCTCGCTCTCCTCGTTGAATAATTCAATTTCTGACTCATCTCGTGGCATTGGGGCTATTTTGCATAAAATAGAATAAACAAATTGTTTAGTCTTGTTTAAGCCTACTATACAAATTGAGACTGTCTCCTACGACTGTGATTTTGGTATCTGTTTCCCCCAGGTAGTCGATTAGTTCGATATTCCCACTTAGGTCGATGTAGGTGCATTCCGTGAAGTCGATTGTGACTGGGCCAGTTGCCGCCTTCTGCTCTATTTCTCCAATTATTTCATGGATATTCATTGAATCAACCACCTTGTGCATTTTCACCCTGTTTCTGGTTGTCTTCCCTGATTCAGTCAGAAATGAAAGGGGTCTTTCTAATAATTCCATAACTAACCAGTATTCTGGTTTGGATGACCAGGTAGAGGGAGATTGAGAATGCAATGACTACGCCACAGTTCAGGTGCATTAGGGCAGTCAGACACAACGTGACCATTAGGTCGAATAGGCGCAATTTGGCAAGAAGTGGGACGTAATCAACCAGGTAGGAGACGCCTATGAATTGGAGAATGAATAGGGCCAGGTATATTGGAATGTGGCTGTGGATGAGGTGGTAGGTGAAGAAGACTGTGGTGGAACAGATTCCAGTCAATGCAGCCGTATACTTGGTTGTCTTACCAGATAGAACGAATAGCAGGCTGCATGCGTAGTTCAGGTTACCAGGACAAATCATCGTGAACATATTCGCAAATCCAAATGCAATAAATTCCCTATTCAGGTCAACCTTGGCCTTGAGCTTCTTTGAGTAGAGCAGAATGGTGATGGCAAAGATCAGAACATTCAGGAATGCGAGTGTGAGTGCAGATGCGATGTTTGATGAGAGAATGTCGCCCTTGAATTCAAATCCAACGAATTTGTTGAAAATGGCTTCTTTTATGCTAAACATGCTTAATTTGTCATGCATAAATAGATTATCAACTGTTTGACTACCAGAACACAGGCGTATTCCGTTGATTAGGAGACCAACCAGTAGCATGTATCCAACCAATATCAACGGCTGTGTCCACTTCTTGAACAGAATCAGGCCACCTGTGGTGATGAAACATGTTACCAGGATATTTGTAACTGATTCAAGGACGTTCTCTTTCTTGTACAAGACACCTGGGGATATCGCAAAGAGAAGCCCAGTGTAGAGACAAACAGCGATGTTGACGGATGATGGGATCTTACAGGCTGTTCGTCCCAGTTTCAAGACGCCTATCAGTCCAGCTACCACAAAAGTGGTGAAGTTGCTGATGAAGAGGACAACTAATTGGTTGCAGAAGACGTTATTGCTTCTTCCGTATTGAGCACACGCCTTTCCCACCTTCTTGAGCAGATACAGGCCATCCAAAGATGGGAAGAAGACGACTCCAATTGTAGAACTCGTTATTAGTGAGTATGATATCTGTCCTACTACAAATGTTGCCAGGAATATCAGCCTGCTTTCGTTATCAAATGGCTCATTGCTTAGCACATGTGTACCCACTGTACTGATGAATACTGGTATTACAAGCAATACGAGTATTACGGGCAATAAGACGTGTCTTATGACTTCATTTGCTGTATTCATGCAATAGGGGTAAAAGTAGAGTTGCTATAGTTCACCCTAATTGAAGAGATGAATGCATTATTTGACTGAATATGACTAGTTGGAGTAAGGTATGAGGAGATAAACCCATAACACCACCTTATTGAACCTAATTCAACCAGTGTTCTCAGGTAACAAAATATGAAAAATTTAGCCCATGTCTGAAGCAGAGTGTACTGGAATTAGCACATTTGTTCAGAACATTGAAAAGAAGAAATACGACCCAAGAGAAGTGTTTGCGTATTCTACGGCACATTCAGGCAATTTTGACGACTGCTGGCTGGTATTGGACACATTTCTGAAGACGGTGCCTGAGAGCAACGAGTTGCTTCGGGATGAAATACTCGCGTACCAAATAGCACTGTACATCAACAACAAGAGGGATCCAACCGATCTGCTTGCAAACATCAAGAACGGTCATTTGCCAAAGATTCTGGTTGTAAAGGGATTCTACTGCTACAACAAGGGCATTTATGAACAGGCCTACAAATTATTTCAGGAAGCAAAATACAGGAAGGGAATGGAGATGTGCTACGTCTACACGAACAAGAAGAAGGTGATTGAGGGCAAGAATGAGCTGTTTAAGGTCTTTGTAGACCCGGCAAGATGGGGAGGACTGACAATTGATGAAATCAGGAATTCAGACAGTTTGAAGTATATTGCAGGAGACAATAACATTTTATATAGGATGAAATTGAGTAGCAAGTATGATGATGCTAAGAACGTGAATGTGTTACTGAACAACATCAAGGTGGATTTGGACTATGTAGAGAAGCTCAAGGATACGAGAGACAAGCTGAAGTATACGGCAGAAGTGGACTACTTGATTGGGATGATCTACCACAAAATGGGCACAATTGATAAGGCAATTGAGTACTACGAGGATTCGATAAAGTGTGATGCATCATACATGCCAGCAGTGTACAATTTGTGTAGAATCAAGCACAGAATAGCAGCAGAGACACTCGGATACGTGGAAGTAGAGGATTTCAATGCCATCACGAAGTATCATGATGGTGCCAAGGATATTGATCTGAGCAAGTGTTCTGATCGAATTAGGAGGATTCTGTCTATGAACATGAGCAAGAAGACTATGATGAGCGATTTAGAGCGAAATAGTGATGAATTGAAGCTGAATGAAGCAATTGTATTGAATAATCTGGGTGTATTCAACAATAACCCAAATAAAATAAGAGAGGCTATTGAAATTGAGAAGAATGAAAGCAGAAGGAGACACTTCACCTACAATTTAGGGTTGTTGACAGGTGATTCATCAAAGATGAGGGAATCAGGGCTACCTGAGGGAGAAATAAATGCAGAATACGCTGAATTCAAGAAGACAGGAAAAGAAATGACGGATTCAATTTACAGAAGTTACCTCAATGAAACTGAAATTGAATTTGATGGAGATCAGGAGACAGAGGAATTCCAGAATGGGATCAATGGATATTTCATATACAAGAAACTGGTAAAATCAATTGATCAGAATAGTGAGATAGCAGCAACACCAGAACAATTCAGACTGCTGAACAATCTGTATGATTTAGCTGCTAAAACATCCTCATTCTACGTCCTGAATATGCTGGCAGTTGTCTACGTGAAATTGGGCTATTTTGATAAGGCTGATCTCATTTTCAGGCAACTTGAAAATGATCTGAAAACTGGGAAGTTTGATCAGTTCAAGGATGCCTTATTCACAAACATGGGAAATATGCACGTGATGAATGGTGACTACAATAGAGCAGCACAGTATTACACGAAGAAGAGTGCTATTGATGAGAGTGAGTTGGATGAAATAGCTGATAAAATAACTGATATCAAAATAGTTGAGAAAGTGATTGGAAAGAGCAGTGGATTTGATAAGTTGAGTAAACAGGTGAAAGTTACCAAAACAAGGATGCTACTGGAACAGGACGTAGAGAAGGCTGAGGAGTATGCTAAGAAAGAGGATATTCAGTCATTGGTTCAGAATGACATCAACAGGCAGAAGGAGAAGGAGAAGACGAAACAGCTGCAAATTCGCCAACTTCGTGAACAAAGAAAGAGGTTCAAGGGAGAATAAGGAAACAGAAATAAAGGCGTAAAATTTTATACCTAAATAAAATGCATGAAATAGAACAAACAAAAAGAATCAAAGGAGGCTGTTTCAAAAGGATGAATCTTGAGATTCAGCTTGAAAGAAACATCCATTTCAGTAATCCGACACCGATACAGCGCAAGACACTGCCACTTGTGCTTGAGGGCCGATCTCTCATTGGAATAGCACGAACTGGTTCTGGTAAGACACTCTGCTACTTGCTGCCTGCCATTCAGTTTGCAGTCAGAAACAAGAGCACCCTGATTCTCGTTCCAACCAAAGAGTTGGCCTATCAAATCAGAAAGCAGCTCAAAATCTACCGATACAAAATTGAATTCAGCGGTCGAATTCTGATCACAACCCCAAATGACCGTGTTGATCTCGATCAGTTTGATATGCTTGTTGTTGTTGAGTTTGATCGAATTCTGGAGGAGGAGTCACTCCGAAAGTAGCACGACCGAATCACTGAGCACTTTGATGGCCAACGCGTCTACTTCTCGGCCACGCTGCCAGCAGATCCAGTCAAAGAGATCAACACGGTCATCTGCCTCGAAACCACCATCCCTGATTCAATCAGCCACTTCTTCTACTACGTTCCATCTGAATCAAAGGAGTCTGCCTTGCTCTGTAGCCTGGACAAGAGGAAGAAGACGATCATTTTTGCTTCAACTCGCTACGGTGTCGAGTACCTGGTTGATGTGATGAATGGACACGGATTCGTGGCACTTGGAATCTACAGCTCAATGGACGATGAGGCGCGAATATCGCACTTTGAGAGATTCAACAAAAACAGGGTGAACTTCCTGGTTGTGACAGACGTGGCTGCTCGTGGCCTAGATATTCCACGACTCGACTGTGCCATCAGCTACGACCTGTCTGACGAGAAGACGTTCGTTCACAGAGTGGGACGAGTCAGAGGAGTAGGCGAGTCTGTTTCATTCGTGACGTATTCAGACGTATTCCACTTCTTCAATATCAAGGAGACCCATTTGCCAGAAGCAGAAATAGGCCTAATGCCCCAGGACGTATTGGACAAGTACGACATGGGTGAATTCAAGTACAAGAAGCAGCAGGCACTGAGGGGATACACGAAGTGTCTGAAATTCAGGAAGAAGGTTTCAGTACCAAGTGAATTTAAGGCAAAAATAGACCAATTTGAGTTGCATACGAAGTACAGGGAGAGGGAGACACTGGCTGGGCAGATAAAGAGGATGAGGCATCCAAGGGCAGTCAGAACAGTCGAGGAGGACCTGAGGAAGCACGATGGGTATCGAGACCAGTTCTACATCCCATACAGCAGGAAGGAGACACTGACTCATTCCAGTGCATTTGGAGTCGAAAGAGACGACTACGTCACGGAGCAGAAGACCAAGGAGAGAATATGGAGGAGGAAGCATGTTGGAAAAGAGAAGTGAAATAAGCTTAAATCATTTATGCGAATAAGTCTAAAGACAAACAAATTGCCCATTCATTCTTCAGATGCCCCTGAATCTGACTCGTCTCCCTTTGCCTTTCTCTTGTATCGCTCCTTCTCCCCATCGGAGAGTGCTCTCCACTCCTTCAATGCCTCCTTGCTCACGTCCTTCCCAAGCCTCTTCTTCTCGTCCTCATCCAAGTTATCCTTGTATTCCTGCACAAACAGCTTCTGCCCAGTCGTCTTGGTCGTCTTCACTGCCTTCGCGCCCTTCTTCTTCTCCCATTCAGCCACAACGGTCTGGTACTCCTTGAAAGCAGGCGTCTTCTTGTACTTCTCATACTCATCTGCGTACCTGACTTTCTCGTCATTGGCCATCTTTATAAATGTCTGCTTCTCCTTTGGATCAAGCACCTGCCACTTCGATCCGATGTATTTGGCCTGCTCGGTGACCTTCATGCTGCCTACAGTTGGGTCAGTCTTCCTCAGATGCACGCCAAACAGCATATAGGAGGAAAATGGTTTTTTAGGCGCATTTTTATCCTTTGGCTTTTTGTTCGTGACGCGAGACATGGGTGAAAAGAGGCCAGAAAAATTTTATAGCGAGGGAAGTGAAATTAAAAACGTCACTCAGAAAGTGATTGGGAGGGAGCAGGAGCAGGCCGGAGCAGCAGAAGTTGGCAGGCGGGTGACGGGCAAAACGTGATCAAATCAGATTTAGGAACACTTCGATCAGCATATTTCCTGTTCCAGCCCATATTTTTCAACAAATAGGTCCATCATGAGCTCAGCATGGACGCCCAGGTGGTTGTTTGACCTGAATTGGTCGATTAGAGCAGGCACGTCCTCAGCCGTCCCATTCAGAACACCATCAACAAGCATCTTCTCGTCCTTCCTGGTCAACTCGTTGTCTATGGCCTCCTTGTACTCCCCATTCAGAATAAGCATCATTTGAAGACACAATTGGCCCCTATCAATCAGCCTCTCATTCTCTCGTAGCATTCCTATGATTTCAGTGACATTTTTCAGTATTATTTGGCATAAAAGCACTTTAAGCTTAACTATTTTCAGGTTGGCCTTGTACCCCTGCACTTCTGAGTAGAATTCCACTGCTTTCTTGAAGAAGCCCAGTGCCTTCTCAGTCTGGTCTATTTCGTACAATTCGCCCAGTATCACACACCTTTGGCCTGCTATATTGTACTTCTTGATTCGTCGTAGCAGATCCACTCCCAGCATCTGGAAGTCGGCTGCCTTGTCTCTGTCATCCTTTATGAAGATCTCGTAGAGCAGTCGATAGCATTCACTTGCTCTCCATAGCCCGTATTCGTTGTCTTCCTGTGCAAATGTCTCTGCTGCCTCATTGTAGTATTTCTCCTTTGCATCTGTTTCCTGTACCAATTCTGCTATTTCCTCGTATATCATTCCACTTCCAACGTAGTCTGCCTTCTTTCCAAATCCCATGAATCCACCACTCTTCTGCTTCAGTCTCTCAGCCACCATCAGCTTCTGTGATAGCTCTTTTTCATCTAGCATCTCAGGGTCAGAATGCCAAAATATCCAAATAATTCGATTGAGCTAACTACATGACTAACTATCTAAATATCTCAATTCAAATATTTTGTACCAGTGTGTTTCACCGTGTTATAGAATATTATTCCAATAATGCTGATTGCAATTCCAAGGTAATTCAATTTGGTCATGCATGTTGCACCATTCAGGATTGATATTCCAACGATAACAAGCTCCTTTACCACTGCAGAGATCGACAGGAAGAGTACAGAGGTCTCCTTGACAATCCAGAGCTCACAGAACAAAATCAGAAATGAAATTATCCCCATCCCAAAAATCAGTGATGAATTCAGAAGAGCAGACCAAACTGACTCAAAGAACTCGCTGCTGAATATTTCACGATACGAATGGACCCAGCTCGTGTATGCAAAGAGGAAGATGCTCGTAGGAAGACACAGGTCTCGTATTGCTACAAATATGTCATCATTTCTCCTAGTGATAATGAACTGAATCAATGACCACCTGAAGCCAGAGATTATGGCACTGGATAGGAGGAGATAGATGTCACGGGATGCCGTTGGTATTGGTTTGACTGTAACCAGATATGTCCCAACTGCAATCAGCAGAATTGAGAAGAGTGTTGAGAAGTTGACTGACTCAGTTCCAAGGACGAATCCGCTTAGAACAATGAAGATGGGCGTGGCCGACTTCAGAATTGTGTAGAAGGCAAGTTCAACCTGCCTGAGCGTGTACATGGAGATGGACGAGTCAATGGAGCCAATGAATGAGCACAGGAGTGTCTCAAGCAGGTACCTCTTCCCAACAGCCCTGCTATGCTCTCTCTTTTTATTGTACTCAATGTATATTACAGCACAAACAAAATGTACTAGGTTGTTTATGCCAGTCTTGAAAATTGGATACCTGAAATTGTATCCGTTCTCTGATATAAAATATTTGGTTGCGAATCCCATTGTTACACAGAGGATGTAGTATAACAGCACCACTGCAACCACCTTGGCCTTTCTGACGTATTTTTGTTTACTTTTCATTTTTTATAAATTCGTGCTGTTTTTGCAAACAATTATGAAACAGTTGGACTCAAGTGAACTCGTATGATACAAGCACCCTAACTCCTCCTTCCTATCAGTCCCAGTCAGAAGTTGATTATTTACCATCATAGCCCATGTTAAAATTGTTCATAAACATCGCAGAAGCCACCATGTCACTTTTCAGGGGACTCTTCTTTGATGTTTATGCATCCAGTCTAAGCTGTTTCGTAGCCTACGCCTATTTCCACTATCCAGAAGTACTCGTACATGGTAGGGGAAATGTGCGATTTGGTAAGGTAAGCAAGAGATACTTTGTACTATTCTACCTTATAGGCCTAATTGCAGCATATAGGACATTTCTAGTACTATTTCTTATTAGAAGAGTCATAGAGAGTCTTCTGTACATGACTAAGACACAATCGTACATGAATGTGTTTCATTTGGTTCATGGATGTTCATTCTACTACATTCTAGGCATATACGTCACCAATAACACCACAACTGCAACTACGGCATTCTATAGAAATTATCTGGTACTTAATGTACTACAAGGAATCGCACATTACAAGCTGTACGTATCAAGAGACCTAAGATACAAAAACAGCCATTACTACTGTGAAATAGCACTCTATGTGCTCTACTTCTACAGATATAGAGACTGGTTTACATTCAACATACTCGTATACGTGTTGCTATTTGTGGTATCAACCATTAGACACTGTAAATGAAATGGTGAAATGAAGTCACTTTTCTACCCCGAAATGTTTGTTGGATTTGTTTCGTTGATTATGGCTGCATTCAATCAGCACGATATACTCGTGAAGATCGACATGTTGCACAAGAAAACAGGCGTATCAACGTTCTACGAGCTATTCAACGTACGCAAGGACGCATCGATGACCCAGATAAATCACGTCTTCAGAAAAGCAAACAAGAGCCAGGTGAATCCGTACAAGGGCAAATTGAGTGACTCAGAGTACAAGAGTCTCATTATGACAGCGTATAGCACCCTGAAGAATCACAGGGAGAAATACGACGGTGTTCTGGCAAATGGAAAGATGATATTCATCAATCACAAGAAGAACTTCAAGACAAACAGTCTCACGTTGATTCTGTTTGGAATCATCACAATTGTGCTGGTTGATTTCTCAGTCTTCATCAGGAACTACCTGAAATACACGGCAATGCCAAAGAAGAGAAGGAAGGCAATGCCAAGGATGTTTATTTATTCAGCATATGCCAAAATAAAAGGATTGTGATAGGCTACTTGGATTCATTGCGTTCTCCCTCTGTCTCGTAGCTGCTTGCTATTCCCTTGCGGCCTTCGTGTATTTCGTAGTCGCAGTCGTCCTTTTTGTACTCCACGCCCTGAAAGTCCCTTTGCTTCAGAATTTCAGCAACTTCTGTTTTGCGTATCACAAGGTCACTCATTCGCGAGTTCAATTCCCGCTGATTCAGTTTTATTTCTACTGAATTCTGTTTGTAGTTTACGCCAACCCATTCCTTATCAATTCCCCTACACATTGAAAATAGGCTGATTACTGGGATATGCAAAGGAATATCGCACTCAAAGAGAGGACAATCAACCAGAATGATGCATTCGATGCTATCGACTGAAATCAGCCTCTCGTAGCTCACGTCCTTCAGGTACATTTTTATCACACTGTGCCTGTATTTTCTTAATATTTCATACGCCTGATCAACTGTATTCTGGTAGTGTTTTGATGTGAAAACTATCGCAAAGACTCTTTTGGAATCAATGTGTTTACCCAGGATGTTTTCTTTAGCGTAGAAATCAACCTGTTCCTTCATGCTTTTTTCATCAATATTTTTGGTCATTTTGATTTGATACTTCTTGAAGATATCAGCTATAGTCTTGTTTGTGAATGGAATATATTTGATTGTTTTGATGTCGAAGATGTCTTGACCACTTCTTATTGCTCCCACAATCTCTTTTATATCATCATTAGCCTGTAATATTTTATATTGATCCATGTTATCAGTTTCGTTTATACTTGTTACTTTCTCGTCTTTATCTAATACAACTGTGCCAAAATACTCTATCACTTTCTTATTCTTCCTGATGTGTCTATGAAGTGGACATGTTGGGCCAACCAGGACGTATTCATCAAAAACATTTTTCAGTTTCAATGGGCATATTATGTTCTTGGTGTACGTCAGAAATGCATTTGAATGCTCATCTGTGTCCACAATTGCATCATAGATCTGTCTAGCCTCCTCAGAATATTCTGCTGTGAATGCAACCACAATATTCTTATAAACTGTCATTTCTGGGTATAAAAAAACCCCTATCGATTTGATCGGTTCAGAAAAATTCTCCTTTTTGAACCCTAATTTATGGCAGAACTGAATTACACCGAGAATGACCTGAAGGACATGCTGGATCAGACAATGAAGTGCAAGGAAGCACCAATAGTGTTCGTATTTGAGCCAAATGGTGCGTGTGTGAGCAACTACAAGGATATGTCACTATTTGATGGCTCTATCTTTACCAAATACATCAACAATGCAGCAGGTTGTGAGCCAATGAACTTCCTGGGGAACTCGTTCGTGTTCGTACAGGAGCACGAGGAGGAGAAAGGTGCAGTTGAGAACAAAATGTGGCTATTCGTTTCAAGAGAGAAGCTCGACTTCAAGGAATTTCAGGATGCCAAGGTTGGACTGTGCTTGATGTATCACGAGGCAGGCGTCTTTATTGCAGCACTTTGTTCTGAAATGCATCTTCGTCTCATTGTTCCAAATCTCTACAATCATTGCGTGGCTAACTTAGACAAGGAAGAAGTAGAAGCCCAGTAAGATGCATAAACACCCTGAATAGGCTTAATTACTGGTCATGAATATTTCTTCTTCTTAATGAATCCAAGAATGTTGTTCTTCTTCTTCAATAGGTTTCGTTCTGTACTTTTTGGTTCATCTATTTCCACTTCAAGTGTTACTGGGCAATGGTCTGATCCGTAGACGTCTTTTCTTATTTCAGCCCTGATTATTTTATAGGCGTCCTTACACCTTATCAGAATATAATCGATTCTGACTCCCAGGTTGACTGATCTGTTCTTTAGCACCTGATCCCAGCATGTGTACTGCTCAATATCTTTGTTTTTCTCTCTAAACGTATCAACGAATCCATCTAGCAACATATTTTTGAGCCACTTTCTTTGCTTCTTGTTCATAAAAGCCCTGTATAATTCTGATACACTGAAATAGTAAATTGGTAGCTCATTTCGTCGTGGCTTTATCTTTTCAGTATATTTTCCATTTTTACTATGCTCCATTATCACCTGAATCTTCTCCTTCTCCAATATTTTATTCCTCTGTTCAATATTTTCTATTTCTGATTCATATTTGATGTCATTACTCCATTCTGCCACGTAATGGAGTTTCTCATACTCTTTTTGATATAAATAGTTATCAATCATGTTGTATGTTGCATTCAGGTCTCCAACAATCATCACATTTCTTGACTCATTTTGCTTCAGGTCCTCATTTAATTTGTGATATTCTGATATTATTTCAACAGGGCAGTCATCTACGCTGCAGAATGGCATGTAACAGTTGTATAAGTATGTTGAGTTGTGTTTAGTTCGCAATATCCTGCCCTGTAGCACTTCGTATGATTCACTACAGTGGCCATTTTTTCTTACAAATGTGGCTACACCGTGTCTGCCTGGCTGCCTGTGAAATGTCGCAAATGTGCAGAAATCCTTCAACGTGAAAAATTGGCTGAGATTCTCTCTGCTTCCTTTGATCTCCTGAAGGCAACAGATGTCACAATCCATTTCAAGAAGCCATTCGTTGAATGTCTTCCCATCCAACAACTTGACAAATGATTGTATTCCATTGATATTGAAACTGCATATTTTCATGAATTATTAAGGGCCACTATTTCTTAGATTGATCCATTGATAATTTTACACAATATGGTTTCGTATGGTACTCATGTAAGTCTGTAGGAATGTTTCTAGTCTTGTACTGAATGAATTATCACAAAGTATTGATCCATTTCTACTGCAAATCACTACACCACCTAGGCCACTTTTAGGCATCTCCCTGATTTCCCCATTGAAGAACAGCCTGACATTTGAACTATCTTTTTTGTTACAAAACAAGATGTGTTCTTTGCTTGTTTCACTAATTTCCATCTTTTTCAGGGTCTTTTTGTAGATTCGTTTGCTCAGACTCTCATTCCTCAATTCGTGCCTGATTCGTTCAATAAACAGATCTACCTTGGTATATTTGGCAATGGCATATTTCTTATTCGACTCATTTCTAAGTCGACTTTCCTGAATTTGCCTGGTTTTCTCAGCCTGTTTTACTTTCTGATCGTATTTTTTACTAAGGGCCTTCGTCAGCTCAGCAACAACCTCGTTCCTGACGCGGTTGTACTCATCTCTGGTCTCTTGCATTATTCTCTTGATTTCTACATCGCACTCGTGCTCAATAGCCAGTATCATTCGCTTTAAGTCAGCTGATTCCATGCTAGGCATGAATGCATAAACAAAGAATACATAAAACAGCCAAACAAACAAAATAACAATATTTGTTACAAGAGTGAATAACTTAGGGGAACCAGATTAGCATCAGGGCGATTCCGACACTCAGGATGCTGATAATCAAAAATGTGACTGGTATATAGAAGTTTCTGAAGCCAAAGAACGATCCACTCGTGAAGATTATCTGCTTATCGTATTCGCTCTCTGATTCTATTATTAGGCTATTATCTGCCTTTGTTGCGTTGACTGTGCCCCAGAGCTTCTTTGTTGGATAGAACATTGTTGGATCTATCCAGTTTATGAATCGTTCGTTTAAAATTGGGAGACCTTCTGCACCTGTGAAATTTAGTGGCTTGCTCCCTGCATTTGTTCTTTTTGTCCAACTTGGTGGTATTTCTATTTCATTTGGATTGTATGACGTCACTCCAACCCGTCTCAAGTCACTGTTGAATGTTATGTTCTCCTGTTTTATTTCTTGACCTTCTACTTCTATGACGTCCTGGAAAAATGAGTTTGGTAATGCTCCTGCTGGATAAATTGGTTTATCATCTTTGAATCCAAATGGTTCCAACTTATCCAACTCCAATTCAGTTGTTTCTCCCTTAATCTGTGCGTAGTTTATTGATTTGATGTATTTCAGGTTCGCCTGGTTGAAGTCTATTTCAATGTACATGAATACTTTGACTCCTACAGGAAGACTTATTCTTCTAGTTGTGTCATTGGTGTATTCTACGCTTCTTTCAAATATAAATGCATAATATATAAAGAGTAATGCTGCTAGGATGCCATTGATGAGACCAAGAAGAAGGAGTTTTTTGGCTATTTTGTGTGGATTATGTTCTTTATAGGTTCCTGGTGTTTCTTGCTCGAATATATTCTTTCTGAGCCAACTTAGCATAAGGGGATATCGGAAACAAACAAATAAATTCGTGTTTAACTAAATTGATTAATGGGACTGAAAGATGGAACACAAATCAACATTGAAGTAGAGATTGAAAGTGCATCAAAATATATCAAAACAATCAAATAGTAGAGATGCTTAGGACCATCCTTAAAAACCTAACTAACATTCAATAGTCCATTATTGATTGGAAACCTTGTTGCTCTTAATGACATTATCTTCAGTCACCAATAGAATTATGTGTGATGCATCAAGAACTGTGCAATTATCCAACACAATTTGTTCAAATTCAATCAAGTGATTTGAATATACTGATACTTCATCATTATAGAACATATTGTTGTATTGGATGTTGATGATTGTGTATATAAATGTGCTATTGTATTTTGTGAATGATTTGTTAACTGTTGCTGCTATTTTCTTAATGGTTTTGTTGTTGATTATTTCAGGTGTGAAAACATCTCGGGTATTAGGACTAGAAAAATGAATTAAAGGACCAGAAGACATGTCTTCTGATATATTGCTTGGAATGTCTTGGATGGGTAGTGATAAATCATCGAGGCTGTTGCTTAAACTAGTTCTCTGTTTACTGTCTCCAGAGCGCACCTTATTAATCAGGTTATTCATATTGCATAAAGAATATTCAATATTTATACTATTTATGCATAAAATAGGATCAAAAAGATATCACTTTTAATTTGACAGTCAGGTAAATCGATCTACTGATGCAGAATAGGCTACAATAGTCCAGAATCATGAAATGTTTCGTTTAATATTTTTGCGCAAATTTTTACATAAATATTTTGAGAGGTAATCGCCCAGGAAATGACATTTAAACGCAAAAGGAACGTGAAACTGGATGTGCTTAAGGCCTATAACGTATTCGAGTTGAATACGTTTAACGAAGACGAAATAGAAGACTACGAGGAAAACAAGGCTACTGGTATGGAGGAAGATGAGGAGAAAGAGGTGCACCTGCAACAGGTAATGAAGGGAATAGGAAGTGAAATACCACTACCAGTGATAAAAGAGATACGCAACACAGGCAGAAACAAGTACAAACAACAAGAAATCAAAAATTTTATTAACGACCAGAGGGATGTAGAAAACAGGTTTATTTTAGACAAAGCTGAGCAAAAAGAGCTCAAAAGCATTTTGAACGAAAAGGACCCACTGGCTGAGGAGAAGGAGAGCTTCCTGGTCAACACCAAAGACATAGAACTAATCAAAGAACACAACATCAACCAAATGACTGAAAAGCAGTGCCTTGATTTTAAGGAGGCAATAAAAGTATTGGGCTCAGATATTAAGCACCTGAATTGCATCAAAAACAACAAATTTATTGCATTTGTTCTAAAGAAGTCACTTATACACTATGAGAAACATGGATTTGAAGCATATACGTGTTTCAAACCACGTATTGTGGAACCTAAGATAAAATCAAGAAAGAATGAATCAAACACGACAGAGAAGCTGGTACAGATGCATAAGGAATTCTTGTTTCTTTTGAAAGGATGCGAGTTGATGGCTGAGAAAGTAGAAAAGGAGGAGGAAGCAGTAACCAGCACATTAAAACTGATAAATGATTTTGGAGGGATATTCAATAAGAAGATAAGAATGAAGCTTGAGACAAAACAGGATACGCGGGAAGCATGTGACCTGTTCTACCAGCGCAAGAAGCCGAAAAAGAACGAAGACAAGAATGTATTAATAAGCAAAGAAATATTAAACAAAATAGACATAGAAGAAAAGAACGAGAACGAAAGTGAGATCAAAGAGAAAAAGGCACATTCAAAAACATTCAGTAACAGGTTTGTGTGCGAATTAGAATAAAATGTAGATAAAATTGATTATGTAATATGGCAAAAAAGACACCCTCTATGGGGCTCGAACCCATGACCCACGGATTAAAAGTCCGATGCTCTACCGACTGAGCTAAGAAGGCTCAAAAAGAAATGCGATATGATTTATATGCAGCAACAATATATTTTTTAAGTCCTGAAATTAGATCACTTTCTAAAAAGAACCCTAAATAAAATCATTCATGCATGAACTCATTTAAGTTTAAATAAGATGAACAGTGATGTACTTCATGTAGCCCAAGTATTGTGTTCGGGTACTGAATCATCTTGCTATTGTACCTGAATACTCTTTTTGTTGCAACTACTTACGTAACAAAGGGTTCTAACAAACTCTTCTATTTATAATTGTTATTTCTTTACAAACAATCAACATATCGATCACAGATTGTTTGATCTTTGACAGGATGATGAGATAAATCCAATGTAGTGGGCCACGCAATAATAAAAACTGTAATACTCCAAGACACCTAACATTGATCTCACAATTTAATCACAAACAAACAAACAGGTTGACACATTAGTCTGACCTCTAATCAATCAAACACAGCTAATTTTATACAACTTTAAATTCCTCAATCATTGATCGATCTTTCCCTATTGTTTATTCAAACAAATAATAATAGGCCCTATGATCATGGAATTAATTCTTTTAAATACACTGGGGTTGATCAGTGCATCTCAACCTTCTACGGCAGAGCTAAAAGCTGAACTCGCAGAGAAACAGGCTGAGTTAAATGAAGTGAACCAGCAGATTGATCAACTTAAAACTTCAATTGGTCCGGAATACATGGAACTCATCCCAATCAAAAAACAGCTTGATGACATTGATGATGAAATTTCCCAACTTACACCTATTGAACAAGAGCTGGAGACTGCACAGCAGAATTTGGCGACGAAGCAAGCAGCTTTAGCAACGAAAAACGACGAGCTTACTGCATTACAGACTGAACTGACTACAACCAATAACGAAATAGGAACATTAAGTGCAACTAGTGATCAATTAGATACTGAAATCAATAACATAAATGAGGATATTACCGCACTACAGGAGACAATTGGTGATTATAATGAACAATTATCCAATATTAATCTCTATGAGCAAATCAAAGATAAGAATGATGCTGTTGCAAACCTGACAGCTAACAAGACAGGCCTTGAAACAGATTTACAGGATAATACAAATGAAATTGAGGCAAAGAAGACTGAGCAAGCAGCAGATCAGGTGGCATTTGATGATGCAACAACGGCATTGAATGCAACAGAAAAAGCGATCCAGGATAAAACTACAGAAAAGAATACGTTAGCAGCACTGATTGATGGACAAGATGACAGTTTCACACATGACGGAAAGACTAAGGCTGAAATTGAGGCTGAAATTGCAGGTTTGACCCAGGAATTGGTAGAATTGGAACAGACGAAAACAGCAGATGAGGCTACACTTACTGCAGCCCAGATCAAACTGAATACTTCTACCACTGAATTAGATGCTCTAACTACCGAAAAAACTTCGCTTGAAACTGATATCGCCAACATTGATAAGGAGGTTGTAGCTAAAAACAAGGAAATAGCTGATTTACAGGAGCAAAGTTTGGAAGACGCGAAAACAAAAAAGGCCACCACAACTGCAAATATCGCTGCTTCAAAAAAGGCAATATCAGGACTTCAAACAGAAATTACAGCAATTAACCAAAACATAGCTGATTTACAGGAGCAGCTCGAGCCATTAGCTGATCTTCAGGCAGAAAAGACTCGCCTTCTGGCAGAATACGAAAAAATTGCTGTTGGATTCACACCAGAGGAGCTGAATGAGAAAGAGATCGAGGCTACCCAGCTGGAGACCCTTGAAGATGGAAATAATGTCCGTTAAAAAGTTACAACTGTTGTAATTCAAATCGACCTAAATTGTACATTTATGGTGGTTTGGGCTGGGTTGTTCAAGCTCGACTTGATAGATACACGTCAATATCTCGAAATGTGATTTTTGAATTTTTCAAGGTTGCAAAAGAGAGTCAAAGTCTATCATAATGCAGCAAAGAGATTAATAAACAAACTAATAGGGCCAATGATGATCAAATACTTACATAACAAAACATTTAACTTTGTAATAGAAGAAAGAAATTTTATTATACTGTTGTCATGAACTATTTTAATCAAAAGTGGTAAAATCAGATAACCCTGTGATTTGTATAACACATGTCATTTAAAAGTAAACAATTTCATATCGTACACCTGATATTTATATTGAGGAGCAGGTTCTAGGCGTCACTCTCTTGGCCATCACAGTCCTTTATATTGAATTAGGTTTTTAGCCTTAACCTGATGTCTGATTATGAACAATTAAATCTGCTTTCCAACATGTTTATAAAGATAATTTTATTGGTTTATAGCTGTTGCCCTAATATAGTAGTGTAAAACAGTCTATTCTACTTTTTTTATGCTCTGAAATGAGAGCACTATATAAAAACAGCCTTAAGTAAACATATTCATACAAATTCTAAACGTATTAATGGTGTTGTTTTCTGTCCCTGTCGTGTTCTCAACGGGTTTAGAACTCTTCTTTGGTGATATCGTTTATTTATCATTATGTTCCAATACCCAGCTTATTTACACCTACTATCATTTATTTGTTAGTAACAATCAAACGTCAACGATTGATGTGTCAAAGGTCTCTAGTTACGCTTAACACAGGTGATATATACCACAAATAACGACATATTCCATGTTTTCTAAAAACTGTTAACGTTACGACATGTGACATTTAACAACATAAACATAAATAAACAGATAAGTTGACAGATTACTTTGGTTTCTATTCAATCAATCATAGCATTTTGTACAGTTTTAAATTTCACCATTATCATTTCACCATTATTATTTGATCATTTATTTGACTATTTAAACAAATAACAATAATAGGCCCTATGATTATGGAATTCCTTTTCTTCAACACATTAGGATTGATTAGTGCATCTCAACCTTCTACGGCAGTGCTAAGAGCTGAATTCGCAGAGAAACAGGCTAAGTTAAATAATCTGAAGCAGCAGATTGATCAACTTAAGAATTCAATTGGTCCGGAATACATGGAACTCATTCCAATCAAAAAGAAGCTTGATGACATTGATAATGAAATTTCCAAACTTACACCTATTGAACAAGGGCTGGGGACGACAAAACAGAATTTGGCGGCGAAGCAAGCAGCATTAGCAACGAAAACCCAGAAGCTTGCTACATCACAGATTGAACTTACTACAATCAATAACAAAATAATAACACTAAGTGCAACTAGGGGTCAATTAGATGCTGAAATCATTGACACAAATAACGATATTTCTGCAGCTCTGGCAGTAATTGATTATGATTCTAGAGTGTTTAACAATGTTATTCACAATCAACAAATCAAAGAGAAGAGTGATGCTATTGCAAACCTGACAGCTGACAAGACAAGCCTTGAAACAGAATTAAAAAACATCGCAAGCAAAATTGAGGCAAAGAAGACTGAGGAAGCAACAGATCAAAAGACATTTGATGATGCAACAACGACATTGAATGTAACAAAAAAGGCGATCCAGGATAAAACTGCAGAAAAGAATACGTTAGCAGCACTGATTGATGGACAAGATGACAGTTTCACACATGACGGAAAGACTAAGGCTGAAATTGATTGGAACAGACGAAAACAGCAGATGAGGCTACACTTACTGCAGCCCAGACCAAACTGAATACTTCTACCACTGAATTAGATGCTCTAACTACCGAAAAAACTTCGCTTGAAACTGATATCGCCAACATTGATAAGGAGGTTGTAGCTAAAAACAAGGAAATAGCTGATTTACAGGAGCAAATTACAATTAATGAGGGTGATTTAGAAGATAAGGCTCTTTAAAAATAAGTATGAAAGTAGGAAATGATGAATTGCGCAAGGCCCGAGAAAAGAAAAACGAATTGAAGACAGACCTAGCCACCACAGAAGCAAGTTTGAAAGATGCGAAAACAAAAAATGCCACCGTAACTGCAAATATCGATGCTCTAAAAAAGGAAATAGCAGGACTTCAAACAGAAATTAATCAAAACCTAGCTGATTTACAGAAGCAACTCGAACCATTGGCTAATTTTCAGGTAGAAAAGACTCGCCTTCAGGCAAAATACGAAAAAATTGCTGTTGGATTCACACCAGAGGAGCTGAATGAGAAAGAGGTCGAGGCCATCCGGTTGAAGGAGTTTGAAAAGGATGCTACTCTTCTGACTACACAAATTGATGAAATGTGAGGTAAAACGGGTCAAACGTTGCGGTCGGAACGGGAGATGAACTTAAAAATGATTTGGACATCGATTGGTTTTATTTAAACTTTTCCTTTTATACTCAGGAATTTCATTTCAGATAAATCTTAGTGTTGATGAATAACGGTCATGCTATGACATCCTGTTAGGGTGTACCTGATTGTATGGGTTCTAAGCTGTTGTTATACTTTCTTAATCAGTGATCATGCCTGTGTGTGCAGCAAATTAAGTCTTGAGTTTTTTCTTAGTGAAGGGGTTAAACCCGTGATGGGTAATGTTAAAACCTCAGTTTGTAACACGTTGGCATATTTTTATTGTTCCTTTCTGGTCTGTTCCTTGTTTCCTCCCGAATATGAGTTTAATCTCGTTGTTCATTGTTATCTCTTTATTCCATGTCACTCTTTGCTCTGAACCAGTGAATGTGTTGACATTGATGGCCTTTATTCATTAGCTTTCTTTTAAGTCGATATATTAAATTTGTCTTATTGAATTCCTAGAATCAGGTGTTAGTGTGATAACTGCTGCAAGGCTGTCATCTATCTGTTCGAACTTCTGAATTAAATGTCGTTGTTTACTTGTTGCGTGAGTTGCAGGGTTATAAATCCCGTTTTCTTTTATACCTAGCTGTCAAACCTATCAAAAGGCTACACTCTGTTACAAAAGTATTGAGACTGTTGTTGACCCTTCACAGCATCATGTTAAACCATTTCACTCACCCTACTTACGTATTCTGATGTTAAAATTCCGTTTCCGTATGCAGATTCTCTTCTCCTGTTACGTGTGCTATGATAGGGTAAAACTTTACATGGTAAACAAAAAAGTGTTACAAAAGTATTGAGACAAATGTTAAAATGCCTATTGTAAGTAGTTTTGAGGAGTATCATTGGTATCTTTAACGATTGTTTTACTTGAATCGTTCAGTACAAAAAGACAGAAAACCATATTACACTTGACCAAATTCAAACCAATATTGATACCAATATCAAGGCTGTGAAAGTAGAAGGATATTTAATAGTCTAAATCAAGATTTATAAGCCATATTCAAGGTCTACGGAAAGGTTCGAGTCATTCGACTAAGTTTATTAAACGATCTTTGGAAATCAGTAAATGAAAAGCAATCGATTAAGTACACATTCACACTGGAACTAGGTAGTGATGTATCTTACTTTATTGTTCATCGTGTCTTAGTCATCTATGGGTGGTGTACCTGATCCAAACGCAATTATTTGCTATTGCTGCCTGATATCAAAAAAACATGTTCGTTTAACGTTTGTTCATAATCCCTGATATCATGTTTCTGAATAAAATTATGTGTTCTAGACGATGAAAAAGCTTTTAAAACAACATGAACGTTGTTATTCAACATCACGATCATGTTTTTCATGACAAAATCATATTTATTTACTAGAGAAATGTAGTATTTCGAATATTTTAATCTTTTTTGTTGGTAGCAATTCAGATGCAATATTCCTGAAGTTTATTGATATCACAATGACTTCTAATATTTATATATAACTTANAATTATTTGCTATTGCTGCCTGATATCAAAAAAACATGTTCGTTTAACGTTTGTTCATAATCCCTGATATCATGTTTCTGAATAAAATTATGTGTTCTAGACGATGAAAAAGCTTTTAAAACAACATGAACGTTGTTATTCAACATCACGATCATGTTTTTCATGACAAAATCATATTTATTTACTAGAGAAATGTAGTATTTCGAATATTTTAATCTTTTTTGTTGGTAGCAATTCAGATGCAATATTCCTGAAGTTTATTGATATCACAATGACTTCTAATATTTATATATAACTTATATAGCATGCCATTACTTCGTTTATCATTATAAAACCTTATCAATACAAAAATCAGTATGATAACAATCTGCCAAAAATACATGAAAATATAAGAACACATGTGAAAGAATAGGTAGTATAGTGATAAATCAGTCTTTAGCATCATCTAACTAAAAATGCATACGTTTAGGTGACCACTATGATATGAAATAACAGTAAACTTTATGAATTGATCAATCAGGTAAAAGTTGTGATTAGGGAACACTTCAATGTAATCCGAGTTGCATTAAGTATAAACAGATTGTTTTGATACAGAATACCATCTAAGAAGCGATCAAAATCCTGAAAAAGAATATTAAATTCTGAGTCTCAATACTTTTGTAACAAAATATTGACTGTGAATTGTTGCACCTTGACGTTTATTGTGTCATCATTTAGTACTCATTTGAACCTGAATAATCCGAAACTAAAAACATCTGTGATATAACAAATACCCTACAACAGTCTCAATACTTTTGTAACAGAGTGTAGCAGGACTCCAAACAGAAATTACAGCAATTAATCAAAACATAGCTGATTTACAGGAGCAGCTCGTGGAGACCCTTGAAGATGGGGCTGCTGCTCTGACAACTCAAATCAATGAAATCAATATACTGCTTGCTATCCCAGATCCGGCTACAATCACAATCAGATACAGCCCAGTGTAAATAAAATGATTAGTGTTGATTTACCCATGGACCAAAGTGTGACCGTGTTGGTTCAAAATGAGGATGAATTGAGTAGGAAAGAAAGACGAAACCACACCGTGATAATTGTTAAAGCAGATAGAATAAGCAACAGTGCCATAAAACAGGGAGTAGATGGAATCAGGCTGACTAACACAACTCACATAAACAAGAGGATAATTAACGTATGCAAGGAGAAGACTGTATTCATTCAGGTTGATTTTGGTGACTACGAGAGAAACAGACTGGAATTCTGCACAATGATGCGGAAGCTGAGGGAGCATCGGGCATGGAGGGTGCTTGTTTGCTCATTTGGATCCAATTTGGTGCATTCTGAAGCAGAAGTGATGGGCATTTTGGCTGGATTTGGATTCAGTAGAAGAAACAGCCTAAAAGTGGTAGAAAACAGCACCAAAATGATCAGACTGGGAATTATCAAGCAGAATGGGACAAATGGAAGAGTTATTGATGTAACAGACAAGGCGTGGATTGAGAAGTGGCTCTACCGATAGCATCTAATTCATGTCGGTGTCACCCAAGAACATCTCTGCCCCAGCAATGTTTCCAACGCCCTTCTTTCTGATATCGTCCTCGATCTTGAAAGCCAGCAGCTCGTTCCTCTCACGCGTGTAGCTGTTGCGGTTGAACAGGAATCCAAGGCCAATTCGTTTGAATCCGACAAAATGGAGCACCTTGGAGAAGACGTCGTTGTTTACGTCAACAATCGACTGAATCGCACCCTCGATCTCCTGATCTAATGCATCGTGGTGCTCCTTTGCCTTCTCAATTGCACCGTAGTACGCATCAGTGAAGTTAGAGAGCCTGCTGAAGACCCTCTCGTCATTCAGATCAATTTCACTGATATTCTCGTCCCTGATCAATTCATTCAGAATGTGGAGAACACAGACCATCTTGAAGTCGACAATGCGCATGTGGATCAGCTGAGTTGATTTTGATCGTGGCAATGCGTCTGTCTCCCTGATTCTGATCACCATGTGATCGTAGGTTGCTGAATACAGGAAGTTCTCCAATGAGAAATAGGTGAAATCAAACAGCCCCTGATATTTTGGTGGAAACACCCTGGTGATTTTGGATCGACTGAGAATGTGGGAGAGGACGAGGAGGCCGACTGAGACGACCAGTGCCATTTTGGCGGTGTATTCGTCAACAAAGCTGATTTGGATTCCTTTGGCCTCGTTGTAAATCACGTAGGTTGAAATTGCAATTAGGTTAGCAAGGGCAAATGCATTTGAGAAGTATTCAATACGGCCGCTGAGGATGACGTAGAAGACAGCAAGCAGCGTATAGGCGTAGAATGGAAGTCTGATGTGTTTCAGGTTGATGAATGCAGCCTGCTTGGTGATACGGATATTCATGAGCAGATCCACTGCGTAGAAGACGCCTACCAGAAATAGACGTGTTCTGGCTGCATCCTTGTCTGAAACAGCCTTATATTTCACAAAGACGAGTGATACCACAACCAGAAACAGAATCACAAACTGCTCGTAATTCAGGCTTAATGCAAATATTTGAAGCATAAACAGAAAGAGCATAACAAAGTTGAATCGTCTTCTACCCTTGAAGGCCTCTACCGTGACAAATGCGCCTCCAAGGGCACAGCCAAGGACGTAGAAGCGCATTTCTTCGTTGAGGCGGAATACTGTTTTCAGCAGAATGTAGTCACCGGTGGCTATGCCAAGCAAATCGGCTATCTTTGACCAGTCCACTTTGGTGGCACCGTAGAGGATGCTGATTCCAGCTGGAATGAAGTTCAGCCAGTAGAAATAGTTTCTGGTATCAGTGCAGCCATTTGACTGGTCTAGGAAGAAGAGGGAGCTGGAGAGCAGGCCAGCCAAACCTATTGAGAAGATGAAGTTGATGCTGATGTCCATGCTCTCTAGGACGCCCTTGGTTTTCCAGTCGAATTTTGATGTGTTTTGGATTTCAATTTTGGTCTTCTCTTCCGTATCCATTGAAAAAGGGTCACTTGAAAATATTTAGAAGGTGATAAATTGAAAGAAATGGATAGGTGAATGAGATGGGAACAGCCAACTGGATTAATACGGTTGGTTAAGCTTAATTTGATTTATGCATTTGTTACAGGTAATCTCTCCAGGAATCATCATTGGATTTGTCTCTATAGAACTCATCTTTCAGGATTCTATTCAAATTGACGTAATAGGCACGTTCATACAGCAGCTCCTCTGTCTTCTCAAGCATTTCATCTCGCATTTCGCTCAAATGGAACAGCTTGTCTGCTTCCTTCAGAATTCGAGTATTTTCTGCTTCGTGCTTCTCCTCGTGCTTCTTCAACGCATCTTCCTTGCTAAACAGGTTGTGACACGTCTTACATTCCCACGGTTTATTGGCAAAGTGGTTTCTGAAATGAGTATTCAGGTTGTTTTGAGTCGTAAACTTCTTGGTATACTTGCAACCAGTCCATTTACACACCAAACCACCATTGGACAGGTTATCTGATGACAGGTGGTTGTTGAAGTGCTCCGTAATCCTTTTTACATCCACATCCTTGTTACATCCATTCCACTGACACTTTTTAGTATCAACCATTTGGGGTGTATCCACTTTTATGCAAAAACCAAACAAATTTAGAGACTAGGCAGAATAATCAAGGACTAAATTTATTTGACCAGTTTCATGAGCTGTTCGAACTTCTTTTCTGCCCTTGTGAGGGATCCAAGACGAATCTTCAGGAACTTCCTTGCCTTCTTGGTGTTATCGCTCTTTATGTATTCAATGGCCTTCTTTTCGTATGGCTGCAGCCCACAGACTTCTGCTGCAATCATCTTAGCAATCTTCTGTGACTCACTCAGTTCATACGTCTTCTTCTTGATGATTCGATCCACTTTGATTGGTTTCACTTCGTGCTTAACACGCTTATTTCTCAGGAATTTCTTCATTGGGTAAAAAATTGCAAAAATATTTTAGAAAAAGAGTATGCTGGAAAATGGTAGAAAGAGTATCAGGAATTAGTTTTTAGTTATTAGCCTGGCTACTTATAGCATCATTTCATCTCATACGTGACTAGGAGATCACGTGAATTTCACTAAAATATTTTTACAAATTTTATCCCATGGCAAGACCAATACAGGACACAAACATCAAAAGATTCGATGCAGAGACGATGCAGCACATTATTCGACTCTACAACACGAACATCGATGGAACTAAGAAGGTGATCTTCTCAATGAGTCGAATCAGAGGACTGGGAATGAGATTTGCAAGGGCTGTTGTGATTAAGGCTGGAATAAATCCAGATAAATTTGCAGGAGAATTGACACTGGATGAGATTGATATCATTCAGAAGATCATTGCAGATCCATTGGCGTACGGAATACCTGAATACTTCCTGAACAAGCAGAAAGACGAGACAACTGGTGAGTCAAAGCAGCTGGTTGGAATCAAGCTCGATGGTGCACTACGAATGCTCATGGAGAAGGCAAAGAAGTTCAAGGAGATCAAGGGATGCCGACTCGCAATGGGACTGAGGTGCAATGGACAAAGAACCAGGGCAAATGGAAGGAAGTTGAAGGCATTTTCAGGCAAGAAGAAATAAGCAGTTTATTATGGGCTATTTTGTTTGTTTTAAGCTTATTTTCCTTTATGCTCTTGGTAGCATTTCAGCGGCTTCCTGGAACTCTTCTGGCACTATCTCGTGCCTGTATAGCAGCAGATCCTTGTATGTGCTCTTTATTGTCACATCCGTCACGTTCGTGATGAACTGAATGTCCTTCTGGTTTGAAACTCGTTCTGGATACAAGTATAATGTGAAGTATATCACGGCAGATGCCACCGAATCGGGTGATCTGCCTGCCAGACACCCTATCTCCTGCACTGCTGCAGCAATGTGCCTTGCTGTCTTCTGTATCTTTATTCCCAAATTCATGTCAGAACAGAATCGCCCCACTATGTCTGCATTTGGTACCACGCCAGACGTGTCTATTTCCCTACTAATCAGCTTGTAGCACTTTCCAATCTCCTTTTTTGGTACTGTCGTTATCACTGCTATTTCTTTGAATGTCCGAGGACACCCCTGTGTTTTACAGGCAATGTAAATGCAGGCACCAATTGACCCCTCTAAGTTTTTACCCTTCAGAAGCTTCTTTGATTCAACTTCCTTAAAGACGGTCTGTGCACTGTCCATAACCTTGTTATTCAGTGATCCTCTCTCACAGAATCCCTGTATTGTGGCAAATCCATTCTTCAGAACTCGGTCTGGCCCACGCATGTAATTCTTCATCTGAATTTTATTCAAAGTGTACGAATTGGCACCAGATCCAGCTGTAATCACGGTATCGAGCTGCTCTGAATCGAGAAATGGATTCGTGGCACTTCCTACCCTACATGGATCTGGTTTGGCACTGTCACTGAAACTACGCCACTCACTGCCCTCGTCTATGACTCTGTCCTTGAAGACACACCCGCATCTTCCACAGACAAAGAAGCCATTCCTGTAGTCTTCAATTATCTTCCTTGTCTCCCCGCATTCCTGGCACTTATTCAAGGCGTTGTTGTATTTGATTGCGGGGTTCATTTGTTTGGGGTAGAAATCCCCCTTCTTCTTTTTAGTCCACGAATTCTACTTCTTTTTCCCACTCTTTTTCTTCTCATGATACTCCCTCTTATTTCTCTTCATTTCATCCAGAATCTCCCTATCTTCCTCAGCCTGTCTCTTTCTATCTGCTTTAATCGCCTTTCTTCTCTCGTAGCCAACCAGCCCCGATCCCCTCTTCACTTTGGTTCCCTTCCACTTTTTCTTTAGAATTTTCTCAGCCATTTTGGTAAAAATTTGACACAATTTCACCCTGAATGAGAAAGCTGGCATCAATCAAGAGAATGGCAATGAAGGTGCTGAACTGTGGAGAAGGAAAGCTGTGGATGGATCCAAATGAGCTGGAATCAATCATGGCCGCAGACTCGTACGACAGAGTGAGAGAGCTGATTGCTGACAACGTGATCATAAAGAGAGACGACAAGGTGAACAGCAGGGCCAATGCTGAGAAGAGGGCAGAAGCCAGAAAGAAGGGAAGACACATGGGAAAGGGATCAAGAAAGGGAACAAAGAACGCCCGCTGTTCGAAGAAGACGATTTGGATCAAGACCATTCGATCAATCAGGGAAACACTGAAGGAAATGAAGGAGAATGGCGAACTGAATTCGGATGAATATCATCGATATAGGCAGCATGCGAAGGGAAACATGTTCAAGCTGAACAAGAACACGATGATTGATCAGATCAACAGAAAGAAACAGGAGCAGCTGAGACTGGCTGAACTGGAGAAGCAGGCACAGGCCATCAGAATGGGAAACAAGCAGAATTAAAGAATTTATTGATCAAAGAATCCTACCAATTTCTGATACGATTGCATCGTGGTTTCCTTGTTTTTGGTCTTCTTGGTTTGAATCGATATTTTGCCATCGAGGATTTTAGAGAAGTCGACTGCTTCCTCTGCCTTTGCTTTGATCTTTTTGATGTTGATTCGGTTTGTTTCAAGGTGTCTATTGGTTACTGCTGCTACCTCTTCCAGTACGCTGTATATTTCATCCATTGATAATTCTGGTTCTGCTTTTTCTGGAACTGATCCTGTCTCCAGTGATTTCTGTACCTGTTCTATGGTTGATACGTAGTTTTTATCCAGTATTCTATTCAATTCAGCTATTTGTTGATCATCAAAATCATTTTTAGTCTCTTCTGAATTCTCAGCCATTGTAGGCCAAAAATATCTCACTATTTATTCACAGTCAATTTAAATCAGTTTTAGAGAATAGTTAAGTTGTTCACGTGCTGTTTAATAAATTGATCAATATCAGACTAGTATGCATGGTATTTTACGTGATATTGGTTTATTGATATTTTCCAATGATACTGATAATTCTATATTCTCCACTCTTTTTGAGACCGTAATCAACACCAAACCACTCTTTGATCGCTTCTAGACACTTTTCATCTATTTCCTTACATGCAAGTTGTCCTACTCCTGATCCATTTGCCATATAGAAGAATATTCTATTCAATAACTTCTTATCGTAGATCACTTCTTGATCAATTGCTTCAAATAACTCATCAATGACTTCATTGATCAATATCTCTGGTTTATCATTTGATTGTGCTGTTCTGCCTGAATAGAATATTCCAGAATCTGTTTCGGCTGTAATAAATGCTTCATATCCAGCTGATGGCCCTGAATCATTTTTATTGTTCAAAATGCTAAGCACTTTGGTGTTCTTCACTTGTTCCTGACACCGTTCTTTGATTATTTTGGTCATTCTGCTTACGAAATCACTTCCAATTCTGCTTGAAACCACCAATCCTCTTATTTTAGTCACTTCATCTGCTTTAATCTGCTTTATATTCCTATAACTCACACCCAATCTACTCATAGTGTTTCTATGCTCTTTTTTGTTGTATTCATCTTTCTTCAAATATGGAATGATCTTCAGGTTGATCAATCCATCACCATCTGGTGCAAATCCACGCTTATGTATTATCAACTTGAATCCGTCGTATCTAATCTGTCTGAACACCTTCCAATGCGTTATTCTGAAACTATCGACCATATCAGTAATTCCAGTGATATTCACATCAATTAAATCATCAAAGAATAATCCTGATAGTAATAATATGTCAACTATGTGATAAAGGTGCGTATTAGTTTTGATTAGCTTGGTTTTCTGTTCCTTTTTCCCAGGTTTGAATAAAATTGTATTTTGCATTGTCTTTGTGTATGAAGATCCATTGAATGCTACAAAGAAGTCCATAATGGCTACTTTCATTTCACCATTTGCTTTTGTGGATATTTCACAACTGTTTTGGTTGATTATTGATTGAGCAATGCTCATAATGAAATATTCTAAATCATTCATTGATGGGAAATGGGATAAAAATAAGTGAAATTCCTAAACCTTACTGATGATGATTTATAGGTGTCTTTTGGTATAATATCCACATACTGATCATATTCATTCTTTGTAAGGAGGAACAATTTCTATCAGTTACTCAAGATCTCTTAAGCTTTCCTGTTTTCTTTCATACCCCAGCATAGGAGAATAAAATGTCAGTAGTAGCTCTACACCTGATCACATTCTCATTTACATCTTTTACTTTGTTTCATACCACACCTTGTCATTTATTTGTTACTTCATTTTACAGTTTTTCTTATTTTTCTGAGCATGTTTTTTGCAACATTATATTTATTAATTTAGTGAATCTGATCTATTCTAAAGTATACATAAATGTATCTTATCAACTATAATACAGGAATGTCCATCTAAATCTACACTTTAACAACAATTACATCAACATCAGCAAATCACATTCTCAAAATTTATATTGTTTCAAAGTAACCCATGTCAATGCAGCTAAACGTTGTAAATTATAGTATTTCCATGCTATTGATGCTATTAGGAAGTGCTATAACAGCAAGAATACAGAATAAAATGGCTCTGGCAGCATTCAATTGCATATATGGTGCAATTGTGATCATTTTTGCACATGGGTTTGTACAATTGTATTTGATTTATATTATCTTCATAGTCAACTATATTTGCATACTCACAAGAAGATTCAGACCGCACCTATACACAGCAATGAACATTCTGTTTCTATTCGCATACGAGAAACTCTACAAGGACGTCATTGGTCTCCCTAGCGAATTCGATCTAACCGGCCCACTCTTTATGCTAGTGATAAAGAGCACATATGCATCAGCACAATACAATCAGAATCCAATTGATTTATTCAATTACATCTTCATGGTACCAGGAATTCTAGCTGGACCAGCCATAGAATACGATGAATTCATCAGAATCCAAAACAGTCAACAACCAAAGGTAGAGGCAAATTTCCTACTTCTGATTGCAAAGAGCCTAGTTGGAATATTGATCTATTTTGTATTGGATGGACTCAATCTGACTAATAGAATTCTATCTAGCAACTCATTCATCATCAAAACAGGCTACTTGTTTTTGATGAGTCTGCGGAAGAAGTCGTCACTCTATGCCGTCTGGACGTGGGCATCAGCATGTTTCTGTCTGATCAATATAGAAATCACAAACATAGACGTAACAAAGGTCGAATTCACGTCGGAGCCAATGAATCTGCCTCGTTATTGGAACAGTTGCACGAATAAGTTTCTTAGGGATTTCTACTTCAAGGATCTGCTAGAAAAGGGATACAGGAAGGAGTATGCAGCAATGATGTGCTTCATAATATCGTCCTGTATGCATAGCAGCAAGATGTACGACTTCATCTTCTTCATAACGGCTTCCTTGACTCTAACGGTACTAAACAGGATATTCAGCAGAATTGAATTCATAGGAAGATCCAGGATACTTAGAACAGCCATAATAACATTCATATTCATGTATTTCATTGTAGCAAAGGCAACGAACAACACCAAGGAGTGCTTTGCCATTTGGAAGGAGATGAAATACGTAGGTCATGTGCTGCTGGTCTTCTTGTACCTGCTTTCACTCTTTTTTGAAAGGAAGACAGAATTGATGCATAGGAAAAAAGAAAAGACCAATTAAACACGTAGCTCAGTCTATATACTGATCACATATTGATCACTTACACACTTCTACTCCTAGATCAAAACATTTATTCAAACAATTTGCCCCAAATGCCTCTATTTCACGAAATAAGATACGCAATGGCATTGTTTGCTTCCATGTTGGCCACATATCTGAGCAGACACGTAAAAGAGAGTCGAAGAGCAGCGTACAACATGGTTGTTACCACGTGCATCGTCAGCCTGGGCCATGGCTTCGCACACACCCTCTTCATCCATCTCATTTTTATGCTCATAATATGCTTAATTCACAGCAAGAAACTCAACCACAATCCACGGATATTCGCAGTAATCACCGTCTTAATCTCATTCATTTATAGGGCCACCTACAAGAAGTGGTACAGTGTCCCTGAATCAACAGATATCACCGGAATTCTATTCATGTTGGTGATAAAGGCAACTTATGCCAGTGACCAATACAACAACAATGTCTACGACTTGTTCAACTACATCTATTACACACCAGGACTACTTGTTGGGCCTGTGATCCCATACACTGATTTTCTGAAGCACAAGGAACGAAAGCAGCTGAACGAGTCTCCTGATTCCACCACAACCAACCTGTTTCCAAGGTACTTCCTTGCTACGCTTCTCTACCTGATGGCCACGCTTCTACTACGCCCAATCAATTTCAGAGAGCTCATTCTCAATGTCCCAAACTTCCTGATCCAATGCTGCTACGTCCAACTGATGATGATCTCGTACAGAATGTCTCTCTACTTCGTGTGGATGAGTGCCAGTGCGTCATACGCCCTCAACAACATCGATCTGGTCAATTTCTCATTTCTTGAAATTGAACTGGCTCAAAGTGGCAGAGACCTCGCCAAAAGATGGAACATTTGCACCCATCAGTTCCTTAAGAAATACGTCTTCATCCATGCAATAGCAGTGACAAGAAACAAGACACTCTCGTCCCTGATGGTATTCGTTGCATCATCCCTGATGCATTCGTACCACCTCAAGGACCTGATTACGTTCAGCCTGATGGCCGTCTTTGCTTCCTTCCTTGACGTGGCCATGTCTGATATCCCATTCATCAACCACTCTCGGATTCTACGCACATTCTGTACGACATTCTTCATGTCATTCATTTCAATAGCCAAAATCACCACCACCTACGAAGAGTGCCTTCTCATTTGGAAATCAACCAAAATGTACGGATTCGTCTTTCTGGGGGTGATTCTGGCATTGCACATTTTGGCAAAACAGTTCAGGCCAAAAGTCAAGGCGGATTAGCCCATCAATGCCCCCAGAAAACAGTCTCATTTGTCAGATATGCAAAATGCCATTTAGGAAGGTCGAAGACACGTTGGTCTGCTCTAATGGCCACACGATCTCAAACACGCTTGCAGAAAGAGACGAGCAGGAGTTTGGGCCAGTTGGAAAGAGAAAGAGAATTCACAGGCAGAAGAAGGAGAAGCAGCAAAAGAGGGCGTGTTCAAACGAGGATGCTTTTAGAGTATTTTATGCATTATGGATTCATGCAAAGGAATTCTTTAGAACAAAAGATGAGAGACTGTTTCTGTTATGGACTGAGCAGTTCAGAATCAACGAGTGGACTGGAATGAGAGTACAGCGTATATTGAAGGAGATTATCATTGGTAAAACACAGGAACTTGGAGACGAATATGCCCTATACAAGGAGGCCTATGATAAAATACGCAAATTGAAACCAGAGACACTGAAGTGTGATTTAGGTCACACATCAACTGAAACAGTAGTTGATGAAGTAGAGGTGGAATCACCTACCAAGACCATCGATAGAGACCCAAATGCCAGCTTCTGTGACTTCTACACCACCGTCTATCTATCAGTGAGAAGAGAGGCAGAAGTATCAGGTGGAATCTACACATTTTCAGAACATGGGCGCAGATTCAGTCAATTTGACTACGATAAACACTTAGACGAAATCAGCACCAATTACAAAGATAAATTCGCCTGTTCCTTCTCAAAGGACATTGATTCATTTGCAGCAGTTGATTGCAAACTACGCTGCTACTCTCAACCAGGATACGATAGCACAGATGAGTCCAAGAGGGGAATGAATTCAACTGGATGCATCACAATGGAGAATGAGATGCTAAAATACAAGTATAGAACACTGTTTGTCATGGATACTGATATGGCACTGAAATACCTCCACATTCTGTTCATAGAGTACAATATGGATAAAATAGGAATCAATAGAATCAGGTTCCTGAAATACTTCAAGAAGTGGCTGGGTGTCTTTGGAGCAGACCGTCTCTACCTTCCAGAAGTCGACTACTCGCTCTACATTCTGACGTATGTTGTCCAATTCCACCCAGAATACACTGATCAATATCTTTCTAAAATATCCAATTACACCAATTTGACCAGAAACAATATCGTAGGCAGAATCAACCAGAACAAGAAACTGCTGAATCGGAGTTGCTCTCCTGGCTTCCCCCAGAAAACCAGTCGCATTTTCACCCGATTCAATTCAGCCCGTAGTCTCCTACGAGGCATCTTCTACAGAAACAGTCGTAGTAAAAATGAATAAATATTTTGGCCCATATGCCAAATATCACGTACGAGAATGAGTCATCGACTGAAATATGCAACGACGAAATCGTGTACGACTTCTTCAACGAATACAAGGAGTGCAACTGTATAGCCAGAGAGAAGTACAATGACGTGAGGAAGGAGTATAGGAGACATTTGCGTAAGACAAATAGAAAGCAGGGCACAGTTCCAGCTGACAAGAACCAGTGGGATAAGACGGTGCTATACGATGGATGTGACTGTGACTACACCAAATACATGATACTGCTTGAGATACTGACGAAGCAGAGTAGAATAATACGAAGGAAGACGAAGCAGATTGAGGAGATGAAGCAGAGTTTGAAGGAAAGAGAGAATAAGGGTGAGAAGGAAGTGAAGAGAAGAGAGAATAAGGGTGAGAAGGAAGTAAAGAGAAGAGGAAGGCCAAGGAAGATAGACTTAACTAAGGCAGATTCAATAAAGACAGACTTAACTAAGGCAGA